GAGGCCCTGTCCTACCCACACCAGGACCCAGTGGTTGCCAGGAACGCAGCTCCCAGAACACTTCACTGTATCGCCACCTGCTGGGGCCTCTCGGCTTTGCACAAAGGCCCAGGGGATGTTTATATAGATCCTCACGTAAAGCATGGAAGTGTGATGGGTGTAGGATGTGGAGACAGAGCAGAAAGACAGGCACCTCCCACCCCTTTGGACAGAGGCTTGGGCCCCCTCAGTTCTAGGCCCCTCTTTCTCTGGAATGGGGCCGGGGCAGGAATGAAGGGATTCATTTGAACTGTGGGAAATGGCCTCCTGTAGGGGGAGGAGGGGCGGGGAAGCGGGGGTAATTGTGGCAGTGTGGCCTTCAGACTGTCTGTACTCTGGACAGAAGGCTACATCTGCTCAGGACTGTGAGCACATGGGTTCCCACCCCCTCAGCTATTCCTGTCCCGAGCACACTCCCTATTTGTCTGCTCTGGCTTCCCGCTACCCTCCAGGACCCAGAGTTCAGCTGTTGACTTAATGTTGGGCCCCTGAAGCATCTCTGTCCCCTCAGCAGGCCCACCCCCTTTCGCCCCGGGCACCTGCCCTGTTGACCTAGGCAGCCTGAATGGCAGGCAGTGAAATGCAGGCAGTGTCAGGTCTCCTGACTTGAAATCCCAGATCTACTGCTTCTTGTGTGGCCTTGGATGAGTTACTTAACCTCTCTGTGCCTCAGTTTATTCATATGCACCACGAAGCTATGAATACTGACCAGATAGGATTTTTGTGAGGTGTAAATGATTTTGTTGCTTGCCCTTAAGACTCACACCTTGGTAGTTCTAGTACCCAGTGGAGGCAGCTGCTAGTTTATGGGGCCAGGTAGAGAGGAAAGGATCACGTGGCCAGGAAAAAGGGCACGCACACTCTAGTGTGTACTAAATTCTGTCACCGGGGCCACTCTGTGGATGTCTTATCCAATTACAGTGGCCCCTTCTCTGTGGGGATACATCAACCCCCAGGGGACACCTGAACTGTGGGTAGTTCTGAACCCTAAACATACCATGCTTGTTCCTATACACACATCCCTATGTTATATTAATCTAATTTATGCTGGAGACACAGTAAGACATTAACCACTATGACTAAAAATAAATAGATCAATTGTAACAACATACTGAAATAAAAGTTGTGTGACTGTGGTTTCTTTCTCAAAAGAGACACTACAGATTGGTGAAGGGATGGATGAATGACTGAAGACATGAACAGAGGACTGAAGAGGATGGTGAAGTAACACTCTGGCCCCTTCTCAAGGATCACGGATCCCATCTGCATCCACCCAAATTATCTCTTGGCCTTGGGAGGGGGTGTTCTCCCCAACTCTGCATCCTGACCTGGTGCAGTGCCCGTGGGGAGGCCCCACCCCTCCTGGCAGTGGGATGGGCACCCTAATCTGACCTGAGTCTGGGCAGACCCCCTTTTCAGCCTCGCTGCCAGACTAGTCTTCAGGCAGCTGTCCTCAGCATTGGCCTCACTCGAGATGGCCTCCTAGCTGGAAACACAAGTCACTTGTTCTGTGCTTCCTGCCCAAGCCCAGGTCCACATGAATGAGAACAAAGTGGGCCTTTGCTCATACTGCCCAGCTTCCTAACTGCATTCTCCAGTCTCAGCTCTGCAGGCCTGGTGAGGAAACTCCCGGGAGGCTTAGTGACAAAGAAACAGGAAACAAGAAGCTCTAACACCAGAGCCTCCCTGGTGGCTGGAGGGATAAAGCACAGCACTGGGAAGCTGTCTGCAGCCTTTGTAGCAAGAGTTCAATCCCCAGCAGGCCAGGGAGCTACCCATATCGTTCAGCAGACCTCTCCATCTCACCCCCTGCTCCCCTCAGCAGTGTGTTTCAGTCAGTTTGCCTGTTCTGTTCCCTACTCTGTCTTTAGTGAGTCCTCTCACACTCCACACCTCTGGCCTGTACCCCAGTTCTTGTATGCACAAATAAGAAAAGGGGGCCTCCCCGGTGGCACAGCAGGTTGAGGGCAGTTCTGTGAAGCTGTCCGCAGTCTCCACAGCGCAGCACAGGGTTCAATTCCCTGCCAGCCAGGGAGATCCCCACATTGCGCGGCAGACCTCTCCTGACTTGCCTGCTGTTCCCCTCAGCAATGTCTTCGGTCCATCTGCCTGTTCTGCTCCCCACTCTGTCTCTGGTGAATTCTCTCACCCTTGCATGCCTCTGGCCTGTACCCCAGTTCTTATATAAATAAAAATAAATCTTTAAAAAAAATTAAGTACATTTAAAAAAAAAGCTCTAACACCCGAGACCACTGGGGAGAAGAGATGATGAATGAAGCTCTTCACAGCAAATGCACAAATGGCCCACAGCCTGACTGTGTTCAGATGATCCTGGCAGGTAATTCAAGGCTCAAAGAGGGACCCAGATTTAGACAAACACCCCCTCACCTCTGCCGTTAAGTTCTCTGCATTGCCTTGCAAATCTTCTGGGTGATTGTGAGAACCTCCCCCTATTCTCCATGCTCTAGACCTACTCATACTTGATACTGTCTAATTTATGTCTACTGCCTGCAGGGTTCCCTAGAATATGTGAACAGCCAGCTACATCACTGCCTTTCTTGCCTGCAGCTTATTTAAACTATTGTTTGAATACCCACACCCCATCAAAATTTGAAGGTATTGTCTGCAGTGCCGGTTAGTTCCCCGGCTGCCGGCGAGGGTCCCACAAAAAATATATATATTTGAGGGTATGGGCTGCTTGACACTCCCTGGCAATGGCACCTCATGTTGAGGTGGCAGACCAGAAACTGTGGAGGAAAGTTCTACAATATTTACTGACACCTCTGCTGATATCACCAGGAGACCCCTGATAAAGAATATTATAGTTAAGATGCCTTCAGGTCCTAGGCCACTGGACACAGCCACAGAGGCCAAGGGAGAACAGTGGCCATCACTATTGCTAAACCCTCCAATCTCTCTGAATGGTGGCCCTGACGTAAGACCCCTATACTCACCAAAATTACAAAACCAGCTCTCATTCTGTTTTGTGTAAATCCCACATACTTCCTCTGTTGTGTTTTTATGATTAAGAGAGAGAGACTTATTACATTTTCCAAGCAGTTCTCAACTTAGTATTATTTCCATAAAAACTTCACCTGCAAGTACATTCATTCATTCAACAGAAATTTATTGAGCACCTACTATGTGTCAATAGAAGTGTATTGAGCACCTACTATGTGTCAGGCTCTGTTCTGAAAACTCTACCAAAGTCCATTTCTGGAGATTATATTCTAGTAAGGAAAGGAGAAAACAAACATGCAGACAATATATTCAGACAGGACAACAGTAAAATTAAAGAGCACCAGAACATAGAGAGAGGGGAAAAGGGGCTACTTTAATCAGTGCAGAAATTTTTGACCTTGGCTGCACATCAGAATCACCTGGGGCTGTATAAAACTCCCAAACCTGAAAACTGGACCACAACATGCAAAAGAATGAAACTAGACTTCTACCTTACACCATAAACAAAAAACAACTCAAAATGGATAAAAGACTTGAATATAAGACCTGAAGCCACAAAGCATACAGAAGAAAAAGAAAACATAGGCAAAACACTCCATGACATACACCTCAGAAACATCTTTGAGGACTCATCTCCAGAAGCAAAGTAAATGAAGGAAAAGATAAACAGTTGAGGGCCTCCCTGGTGGCACCAGAGTTAAAGTCAGCACTATCTCTGTCTGGTTGTCTTCAAACTTTTAGGAGGTAAAAATTCTAGTAAGCTTGATGTACCCTGAGGCAGCTTTTCTCCTACCTAAGAATCTTCCTTTTGACAATTCTCATTCCCTCCATTTAGATCCAACCATCTTTTCTTTTCTTTTCTTTTTTAAAGATTTATTTATTTATTTATATAAGCACTGGGTACAGTCAAAAACACAGGGGGGTGAGAGAATTCACCAGAGCCAGAGCAGGGAACAGAACAGGCAGACCGACGAAATACACTGCTGAGGGTAGCAGTGGGCATAGCAGGAGAGGTCTGTGCGCCATGTGGGACCCTCGCCGGGGGCGGGGGAGGATTTAACTGGCGCTGCAGAGGCTGTAGGCAGCTTTGCAGCCCAGCGCTCAACCGTTGCGCCACCAGGGAAGGCCCTCCAACATCTTTTCATTCAACATGAGAGACCCGAAAAATCCCTCCTTTCCAAAATATTGCACAAAACAATGCAAGGCTTTTTTCCAAGTTCATTGCATAGATTCACACTGATACACTGATGAGCCAAAGAAAATACGTAATTGTTCATCCTGAAAGGAAATCTACATTTGAAATTACATGTGCATAATTACATGTGTATAATGAAGAGAATGTTAGTATTATTCCAAGAGTAAAATGCTTACTGCATATTGGAAAAGTAAACTCTATATTGTCCAGAAGCTGTCATTGATATAATGAAATTTCTTGAAAAGAATTATCCACCTGATTCCTCAATCTGCTAAAGATAGAGCTTTCATATGATCCAGCAATTCCACTCCTAGGCATTTACCCAAAAGACACAGAAACATTAATTCAAAAGGGCACCTGTGCTCCGATGATTATAGCAGCACTATTCACAATAGCTAAGCTATGGAAACAACCCAAATGCCCAAAAATAGATGACTGGATCAAGAAGATGTGGTACATATACGCAATGGAATATTACTCAGCAATCAAAAAAGATAAACTCTTGCAATTTGCAGCAACATGGATGGAGTTGGAAGGGATCATGCTCAGTGAAATAAGCCAGAAAGAAAAAGAAAAATACCGGATGGTCTCCCTCATAGCAGGAATTTAGCAGAACCTAAATAAGGGATAAGAAAAAAGACTAATTGTAATAAAGTTAAAATCAAAATCAACAAGCAACTATAAACCAGAAACATAATACAGCAAGGGGAGAAGGGAGTAGGATGAAAACAAGGCGGGGGTGGGAATTGTATGGGGACTAGAACCATGATGAAAATGCATACATTGTGCAAAAATGAAAAATGATGTAAAAATATATAAAAAATAAAATCAAAAAGAATTATTGACCTGGGTTGTTTGTCTTGAAATGTCATTCCATATTCTAATATAATAAAAATTGATATTACTGAGTTATCCCCAGTCATTAGAATAATTTGTCAATAGCTATAAACTCACTGAAAGCATTTTATTCTTCTAACTTCCTTTTTCTCACTTGTTTCTTTTTTTCTATGATAAATTTTATCACAGAAAAACTTATTGGTGGTTCTTTTGCTTTTACATCAGCCTTCCTGTGCCTCTCTGTCCAGAGCCCTGACCCTCACGCCCTCGTCTGCAGCTCCTGCAGGGCAGTGGCCAGTGTGTCCAACGGTGGCTGCAATTTCTCTCACACTTCATGTTTCCAAGGGTTCTTTTAAAAGGTTCACATTGTGACCAGCGGTGAAACAGTATTTCTGAGTTCTTCTGAATTGCGTGTGGTGGTAGTGAGAGAATAAAGGAGAAGTGGAGATTTTCCTGAACACACATGCCTTTGACATTCACATGGAGACTTCACATGAATAGCTCGAAGAGGCAGTTACAGTTTGGGCTAATAGAATCTTAATGAAGGACCAATAGTTTCTCTTGTTCTTGGTTTTTTATAGCTGACAACACAGAAGGAAAATGACTTTGTAAGTGAGAAATTATGAGAATACATGGGGAAAATAATGGTAAGCAATGGTTAGTTTTAGCCAGGTTTGTTTTGTAGAACCCTGTTGTGCAGTCTCTGGGCTGACAAGAGTCTACATTCTCTGGTGATAACTTGTGTTTTCTGGTTGGGAGGGGATGAGGGACAGTATACAAATATGTCCAAATTTGGCAGCAGGAGGAGAGCTTTTCTAAATCTGTTTTTTCTCAATTGCCTTCTACTCAGTAGAATTCATAAGCCTATTCTTCAATGCTTTACTTCCTATTAATAGTTATACCTCAGCCTCTATCAGTATGACTGGTAACCTTCCATGCCGGGAGTATCGGAGATACCTGGAGCTCTTCTGTGCCTTCCTCTGGGCCGAGGTCAGAGATCCGGCCATGCTTCTGACATCCAAAAGCAACTCTTACTTCATTTCCCCTTCCTGGTGAGAGGGTACCAGAAGATTCCAGTGTCAACAAACATTTACTTTGGTGACTTGTGGTCATCATTAATGCTGCCTGAGATCAGGCTGACGACAGCATGGTGCTGTCTCAGGCAACTCAGGTCGGATAATTTAGGTGTGACAAGGATGAATACATCATTTGAGATTTTGAATTATATCAAGATAACCAGCACTATCACAATCTGGAATAAATCAACTTCTTTTCCAGTACTGCAACCCCCGTGAAAATTCATTGTTATAATTCATCTCCTCCCCACTTGAAGCCTCTCACTCTAAAGCATTGTAAATCTTCAATAACACTTTATTTGGTTATCACTCATGTGGAATCACTAGGTTGGCAGGTATCAGCATTTAACTCATCCAGGACTATAGCTAAGATTATCTATCAGTGCTTAACCCATTAGAGATTTTGAGAGTCACTGCTACTTTGATGTTCTTGCTGTTTTATGCAGCTGATAGAGACAACTGCAGCTTCTCCTCCCCACACGTGACTTCAGATGGTCTCAAACAAATGGGAGCACTCGGCCCTCCAGACCTCTGCTGCTCAGACAGGCCCTTTGGGCATCAGAGGTCTGGCCCACCATAGAGGACTGGAGAGGAGGATGGATGGTTAGTGCTCTTATCTTGTTTTTCCCCAAGGAAGGCTGATCATCTAATCACTTGTAGTTCTTGTACCCATTCATTCAATGCAGATTTATGAGTACTCACTGAGAGGTCGGTGCTGTTCTAGGTACAGGAAATAACAGTGAAAAGAAGGATGAAGTTTCTGACCTCACAGGATTTTTATTATATTCTCTACGATGATGGCTAAACAAAGGAGACTTTATTCATTCCTTTCTTTACTCATCTGGTGGAGGCAGGAATAAAGGAGATGGCTGATGAACCCAGAAAAAAGGCCGGAGAGTTTCAGAGAACGAGGCCTTCGGGAAGGTGAAGATGTGGGAGCCAGTCGCCATGTTGTAAAAAGAGACAAGTCCGGCCTCACAGTCCAGAAAAACCCCCACAACCCGAGGCTTCTCGCTCAGAGGAAGCGATGTTGGTGGAGAGGTAAGGGCCATGTAGCCATTTGTTTTGCACATTCTGATGACCCAGCATCCAGAGTCAGGCTTCAGCGTCATGAGAAGACCCCTTGGCACATTTTGCAGGCAAACTCCTAAATCGCACCCAGATCCTTCTCCCACATCCACTTCAAAGTAATGTCTCCCTGAGGTGAAGCCCTCATAGCCGAGGACACAGTGGAAGGCACTAAATCTCTCAGAAGTGTTAGGCTTCATCTGGGGGGCTCCACGAGTCACTTGTCTCCGATTCTCAGACACAACAAGGTCTTTGTGAGCTGTGTCTGGATCCAGAGTCACGCTGACTACAAAGTAAAACAAACAAAAACCAAAAAAGATATTTTCATGCTGACAACAATTTACCTTAAATAAAACCAGCCTGTGATCAAATGCAAACTTTGTTCTCTACTAACTGTACGAGTCCTTCTCTGAGCCTCAGTTTGTTAAAAATAAAGCAGAAATCACATCTGTCACAAAGAGTGGTGATGAGGATATTTGAGTGTATTAATATATGCTCAGTTCTTGGAACAGGATGACCAGTAAGTCATATAAAAATAAATGTAATCATATCATCATCTTCATCACCATCACCATCTTCATCTCTCAGAGAAGCCAAGGACCAGAACTACCCAGATGGACACAGACACTGTCTCCCCCGAAAGCCCTTGCTCTTCCAGGCAAGACAACGAGGAATCGTGGAGATTACAGCAGACAAGCCCGTCCCGTGTTCAGTAACAACTACCCACACCAGGGATCAGAAAGCAAAATAACACAAGTAATGTCACAGCTTGTTACCGAGGTCCCAGGATTTCCCCAGGTCTCAGGACACAGCTACCGCCATGGCTGTAAGTGTGAGCTCTTCTGTCTTGCTTCAGATAATGTTCCCTAGGGACTAGTGTAAGGAAATCAACTGAATACCAATACACATGACAATTATCTGACTAGAGTCAAGTAAAATAGAAGCCATGATAAACTTATATGCGATAGTGTCCAGCAGTGCAATATTAAAAATGAATAGAGGTAACGAAATTCTAGCAACAGAGTTAACCACCCACTGTGTTACTGGATTAAACACCGATCATCTGGACTGCAGCAGTAAGAGAAACCAAGTATGCAGGGACACTTCCTGCCTTGGGGAGTCTCTTTCCCTTCCCTCTAGATCACTCCCAACTTGTCCCCCCTGCTGTGTTTCCAGGAAGGCTGACCCTTCTGGGCACATTAACCAGGCTCCCTTCTCCCTGACTAGTTTGCTTCAGTCAATGGGAAACAGTAGAGAAAGAGTTTGCTCCAGGGGTTAGGAATATACAACAATTAGGTTAGAAACCAGCAATAAAACAATCAAATATTAGGAAAAAAAATGCTTCTATATCACAATATGAAGATATATACAACTGAACAATAATAAAAAGCTACATATAAAAATTATATAATGAAACTAAGGGTGAATTTTCAGGAAAATTTATGGCATTTGCATCTAAAAGCTACTACACAACCTATGAAACTGAAATTAGAAAAACAACAGAGAAACAAAAGGAAAATTTTATATAAGAAAAATTAGAAACTAAACAATAATCAATGAAATAAGAGAATACAAACATAGAGGAACGAAAGTCACTACTTTGAAAAAATTTAAAGAAATAGACATACATCTCACAGGTTTCATCCGAGGAGTAAAAGAGAAGGCAAAATTGGAATGAATATAGATCTTTAAAAATTGCATCTTCATAGGGTCAAATTCAGAGATACTTTTTTGTTAGGTTTATATTAACTTGGGGGAAATCTCTATGTTCCACAATCCTTTATCTGAAAACCCTGGGGCCAAACATAAAATTTCATTTTATTTTTCACATCACACAACAATAATGCACTCTAAGTGATGTGCCCACCCTCAGCAGGGGCTACAGCAGCCTTGTCCCCAAATGCAGCAACACTTCCTGTAGCAAGAAAGCTTAAGAAAGATGCTAAATAGAGTCACATGAGGGAAATTTAGGTCTGGTCACAGTGGAAGGAGGACTTAAGAACAGCTTGCATGTTCTCTGCTGCCTCCTTTTCACAACGTTGTAAAATCCCTTCCATTTGACTATGGGCATAACTGGAGAACTGCCTCTGATCAATCACCTCTGGCCACTGGCAAAAATAACAGAATGTGACCCCATGGTTATATTTCACTATGTGACTCCATCTTATTAGCTGCATTACTGGACTCTCCTGAGCTCACTTGAAAGAAACAATTGGTCATGTTGGGAAGCCTATGGGCAAAGTGATGAGTGGTGCCTTCCAGAAGCTGAGTGTGCTTCCAGACAACAGCTGGTAAGAAGTCAGGACCTAAATCCTGTAACCATGAAGAAATGAATTCTGCCAACAACTGGAAAATTATTCCCCAATTGAACCACAAGTTGAGCCCATAACTGTGTGACCCCACCTGAGCTGGGCCCAGATTTATGATAAATGATACTGAAAGATAAAATGTGGTTTTCGCTTTAAGCCACTAAATATTTTTGTAGCGGTAGATAACTAGAAGCCACCAAAGCATGTCCAATTAGATTTGATTTTGTGGACAAGTGAATTATGGAAAATATTTAATTGCCAAAGCATTTGAATTTTGTAACTGTGCATAAGAGGTGACGGAAATACAGCAAGCATTAAGAGAATCCAGGGAGATTTGCAATTGATAAAACATGGTTTTCCTTATGATTTTAACATTCACCACGCTGGCTGGGTATCGGTCCTAAATATATCTGCATCACAGTAGAGTGTCCTCACCTACCTCTCTTGCATTGTTCTCAGACTTGACTGCAGTATTAGCAATAAACATTATATACCCGACACTGGTCTTCATCCTTAGTATTTAGGGGATCCCCATGCTTTCCATACCTTGGTAGCTCTTTAACATTTTCTTCACATTTAAGTAAAGCTCAGAAACATTGCACACAGTGTAAGGCTCCACAGCGACGGCCCCTGGTAATTTCAGCATCACACCTGAACAACTAGAATCAGCAGAGGACAGAGACTTAAGTGGACATTCCATGAAGCTTTACGTACTCCCACCTATTCCCCCCACACTCGTATAGCACTTACCTATTCAAGGTGTCTTTCACATCCTAGAGACAAACAAAGACAAACATGAGCTTGGGCTTGGCACTGGGGCTACCTTTATAAACACTCCTTCCAAAGGCCTGAAGAGAGTGACCCAGGCTTAGACATCCCAGGTAAGATACCCATCCAGTGCCCTAGGATGGCCAGCATGGCATTAAGTTTATCACCCTGTGATTCTGTTAACTTTCTTGCTGTTGCCTGTGATCACATCAGCCTGTGGACTGCTGGGAGAGAACGGCTAGGAACTTCCTATGTGCCTCTGGCAAGACCTGCTTTCAGACACTAATTTCATTCAGAGGAATCCATATTAGAGCTCACTTCTGGTCCTCAGTGGGGCGCCCACGCAGAGCTGATGCGATGAGACACTAAGATGGTGGCAGCAGGAGCCCCATGTTGGCAGAGCAGGGCTGTGACATTCTCAGCCTCACAGTTTAACCACAGCTCCAAATGGGAGTGAGAAAACTGCTCCAGGCATTTTCTTTTTTTTTTTTTTAAAGATTTATTTTATTATTTATTTTTTTATTTTTTTATTTTTTTATTTATACAAGCACTGGGTATAGTCAGAAGCGTGGGAGGGTGAGAGAATTCACCAGAGCCAGAGCGGGGAGCAGAGCAGGCAGAAGGACCAAAGTACACTGCTGAGGGGAGCAGCGGGTGACAGGAGAGGTCTGCGCGCCATGTGGGACCCTCCTCCAGTGGCCGGGGAGCAGCTGGGGATTGAACTGGCGCTGCAGAGGCTGCGGGCAGCTTTGCAACCCAGCGCTCAACCGCTGCGCCACCAGGGAGGCATTTTCTTAATGGACTGGATTTCTCATACAGCAGAAAGAAGGCCAGAAAGAGCTCCTGGATCACATGATCTATAAGTAAACAAAGAAATTTAGCATACGTTTTTGCTGCCCCACTTTTATACCCACAGTCATCTGGAGCTTTTCAGGAGACAGTTTGACAAGGTTCTGTGCCCATGGGAAAGGAGAGGGTAGCAAAAATTTTTCCATAGTTCCAATAGACCGGAACCCGTCATGTATGCCCAATAGGAGCCTATTTTTGATTCACATAAAGGCACGCTATAGATTATTGGAAGCCACCCTGCAGATACTGATGTGTATTGAAAAGAAACACTACTTGAAGTTCCCCACAGCAATGTATCACTCTGCAGTGAACAGTTAGGCCTTGCCCATGTCCCTCAGGGTGCTGCCTCAGGGTGCTGCTCTCAGGGACTCAGCAACAGACACCTCCTGGACATCCACCACTGCACAGACTCACCTGCAGCAAATCCTGGGCTGATAGCTGACATTTATTCTCTATTTCCAAGATGCAATTCTTGATTTCAAGGCTCTGTTTTTCCAGACTGCCTTCATCATCCTGCAGACTCTTCAGAGTCTGTTCTTTTTCCTTCTCCAGTCTCCACAGAAATGCCTTCTCCTCTTCACGGAGAAAGTTGTAGAGATTCTTGAAATCAGACTGGATTTTTTGTCTCTGAAGCTCCATCGTCTCCTAGAATCAAGAAAGTGTGCTCAAAATCTGGAATTAAACCAAACGTCATTTAAATTAAATGAGAACAGAACATGGTACATACATATCACAGAAAGCTATTGAACTCTGAGAAGGGCAGAAATTCTGATACATGCTTTGATGTGGACATGATCTCGAGGACATGATCAGTGAAGTCAGTCAGAAACAAAAGGAGGATAATTTTATGATTATCCTTATAGGAGGAGCCTAATCAAATTTAGACACAGAAAGAAGAATGATGGTTCCAGTTACAAGGAGTGGGCAGTGGGGAGTTATTGCTTAGTGGGGGGAGATTTCAGGCTGGAAAGAGCTTACAGCTCTGCAGAGGGAGAGTGGCCATGACTGGACAACAATGAGAAAGTAGTTAATGTAAAGTGTAAATTATATGTTTATTTTAAAACACACACACATAAAAAAAAAAAAAGAATTTACTTAGCTATGGTGACACTGTTTTCCCATGAGCACTTGCAGTGGGAAAATGTCCCACGTTCTTGCTCAGTCCTACCTGGCACAGGTAGTAGTTGTGGGAGGGGCTGTCATCAAGCTCTAGTTGCATGATTATTTTCCATCTTCTTGAGCCACAACACAAGAGAATGAAGTACAGAGTGCTAGACAATAGTCATTATGAATCTAGGGCCGAGGTCAGATGCTGAGTTTTCATTTGGAATAAAAGAAAGAATATCTGAGCGCGTCCCCCCCCCCCCCGCATCGCCATTTGCAGCAGGGACCTTTCTTTGGTGGAGACTGTGTGAAACCAGCAGAAATCTCCTAGAGGAGCCAGAAGTGAGCTGAGAAGTTCACCCAAGATGCCGGCCAGTACCAGCAACACAGTGTCCCAATGAATACGGCAAATTAGAAAACAGGCAGTAGGGAGTAGAAAAACCACATGCAACCCAGCAACTCCTCAGGAAAAATCATACCATAAAAAGAAAACCACCTACCAGATTGCAAAGACAGTAACTTGGAAGAACTTCTGTGCCTTCCAGAAAGAGAATTTAAAATTGCCATGATTAAAAAACTGACAGAAGTCATAAAGGAAAACAATGATAAGGGAAAAATAATTAATGACCAGAAGAATGAAATTGAGTCCCTAAATAGGGAAGTAAAAGAAATGCAGGAGATCAAAGAATTAATGGAGGCGCTAAAGAACTCTGGGAAAACAAATGAAAGCAGAATAGATGAAATGGAAGAACGAATAAGTACTCTTGAAGACACAGAAATAAAAAGAACTAAAACAGAAAAGGAAGGAGAAGTACGAAGGAAAAAGACCAAAGAAAGACTTCGGGAACTATCTCCATGAGGAAAGGAAATATAAGAGTTATAGGAATCCCAGAAGGAGAGGAGAAAGGTGGAGGATATAATTGAAGAGAACTTCCCAAACGTGAAGGAGCTGAAAATTGATATACAAGAAGCAAGAAGAACACCAAACTTCCACGATGAAAGGAAAAATACAGCAAGACACATAATAGTAAAGCTCCCAAGAATCCAAGACAAAGAAAAAATAATGAAACTGACAAGAGGGAAGAAACAGATAACATTCAAAGGAAAACCAATCAGACTGACATCAGACTTCTCCAAAGAAACACTACGGGCAAGGAGAGAGTGGAGGGACATAGTCAACAGACTCCAAGAAAACAGATGCCAACCAAGAATACTCTATCCCGAAAAGCTCTCCTTCCTCTATGAAGAAAGAATAAGGACCTTCCCAGACAAACAGAAACTCTGGAATTTCATTACGACTAAACCCCCACGCCAAAAAATACTACAAAGAGTCCTAAAAAAAAAGTTATTAAAAGAATGAATAAATAAAATCAAAGGAAAGACAAACACAATGGCAAATACAGATGCTAACATATCAATACTAACTCTAAATGTAAATGGACTAAACTCTTCAATAAAAAGACACAGAGTCGCAGGCTGGATTAAGAAACAAAACCCAACCTTTTGCTGTCTCCAGGAAACACATTTAGCAGCAAAAGATAAAAATAGACTCAAAGTTAAAGGATGAAAAACAATCCTACAAGCAAATGGACCAAAAAAGAAGGCAGGAACAGCTATACTCATATCAGATAAAACAGATTTCAAACTCAAAAAGACAAAAAGAGACCCCAATTGTCACTACATTATGATCAAGGGGACAATACTTCAAGAAGAAATAACACTCATTAACATATATTCACCAAACAAAGGAGCACCAAAATATATCAGACAACTATTGTCATCTCTGAAAACAGACATCAGAGAAAACACATACATAGTGGGAGACTTCAACACACCACTATCAACAATGGGTAGATCAACGAGACAAAAAATAAGCAAAGACACTAAAGCTCTAAATAAGGATCTAAAGAGCTTGGGCTTAACAGACATCTATAGAACACTAAACCCAAAAAAATCTGAGTACACATTTTTCTCAAGCGCACACGGATCATTCTCCAGCATCGATCACATACTGGGGCACAAGACAAACATCAACAGATACACCAAGACTGAAATCATACCAACCATCTTTTCTGACCATGAAGGCATCAAACTAGAAATAAACCATAAAAAGAAGGCAAGGTACTCTCCTACCTCATGGAGATTGAAACCACACTACTGGAAGTCCACTGGACTAACGAGGAGATCAAAGAAGAAATTAAAAAATTCTTTGAATTGAATGACAAGGAGGACACCAATTTCCTAAATGTATGGGATGCAGCAAAAGCAGTAATCAGAGGAAAATATATAGCAATAGAAGCTCACATCAAGAAACAAGAAAGAACTCAAAGAAAAAACCTAATCTCGAAGCTCAAAGATCTAGAAAAAGAACAACAAAAAAACCCCCAAAACCAGTAGAAGAAAAGAAATAATAAAAACCAAAGCAGAAATAAATGAAATCAAAATTAAAAAAACAATCCAAAAGATCAATGAATCCAAGAGCTGGTTCTTCGAAAAAATCAATAAAATAGACAAACCCCTAGCCAGGTTCACAAAGGAAAAAAGGGAGAAAGCACAAATAAACAGGATCATCAATGAAAGAGGAGAAATCACAACGAACACAGCAGAAATCAAAAGAATAATAAGTAACTACTATGAACAGTTATATGGAAACAAGATCAACAATCTAGAAGAGACAGACAAATTCCTACAACTCTACAATCACCCAAAGCTAGATAAAGAAGAAATAGAACACCTAAACAGACCAATTATAAGCAGCGAAATTGAAATGGTAATCAAAAACCTCCCCAAAAACAAAAACCCAGGACCTGATAGATTTACAAATGAATTCTACCAAACATTCAGAGATGAATTAGTGCCTATCCTTCACAAACTCTTCCAAAAAGTTGAAAAGGAAGGGACAATACCGAACACGTTCTATGAAGCCAACACTACACTAATACCAAAACCGATTAAGGACAACACAAAAAAGGAAAACTACAGGCCAATCTCCCGAATGAACACTGATGCAAAAATCCTCAATAACATTTTAGCTGTCAGAATCCAACAATGTATCCATAAGATAATTCACCACGACCAAGTAGGATTCATTCCAGGGAGACAAGGATGGTTCAACATCTGAAAATCAATCAACGTTATCCAACACATCAACAAAAAGAAATATAAAAACCATATGATAATATCAATAGATGCTGAGAAAGCTTTTGACAAAGTGCAACATCCATTCATGATAAAAGCCCTTGAAATTCTTGGGATACAAGGAACATACCTCAATATCATAAAGGCCATATATTACAAGCCAACAGCCAGTATCATTCTCAATGAGAAAAGCTGAAAGCAATTCCATTAAGATCTGGAACAAGACAAGGATGTCCACTCTCACCACTGCTTTTCAATATAATACTGGAAGTCCTAGCCAGAGCAATAAGATAAGAGAAAGACATACAAGGAATCCATATAGGAAAAGAAGTCAAACTATCACTATTTGCAGATGATATGATAATATATATACAGAACCCCAAAAACTCCACAGAAAAACTAATTCAACTCATCAGTCAGTTCAGCAAAGTGGCAGGATACAAAATCAACACGCAAAAGTCAGTAGCCTTCCTATACACAAACAATAAATCTGAAGAAGAAGAAATTAAAAAAAATCCCTTTTATTATCGAAACAAAAAAAAATCAAATATTTGGGAATAAATCTAACAAAAGAGGTAAAGGACCTATACAAAGAAAACTATAAAACACTGTTAAAAGAAATAGAAGAAGACACAAAGAAATGGAAAGACATCCCCTGCTCATGGATTGGAAGAATAAACATTATTAAAATGGCCATCCTACCAAAAGCAATATACAGATTCAATGCTATTCCAATAAAAATTTCAATGTCATTCTTCAAAGAAATAGAACAATTATTGATGAAATTCATATGGAATCACCAAAAACCGCGAATAGCCAAAGCTCTCCTGAAAAAAAAAGGGAATGGAGGCATTACACTCCCACACTCCCATCACACTCCCATCACACTCTTCAAACTCTACTGCAAAGCCATAATCATCAAAACTGCATGGTATTGGAACAAGAACAGACACACAGACCAATGGAATCGAATAGAAAATCCAGAAATATACCCACAGATTTATGGTCAACTAATCTTTGACAAAGGAGCAAAGAATATGCATTGGAGCAAAGAAAGTTTGTTCAATAAATGGTGCTGGGAAAACTGGGTCGCTATATGCAAAAGAATGAAGCTTGACTACTACCTCACACCATGCACAAAAACCAACTCAAAATGGATTAAAGAACTAGACATAAGACCTGAAACCATAAAATACATAGAAGGAAATATAGGCGAAACACTACGGGAGATGCACATCAAAGACATCTTTAAAGACACATCACCCAAAGCAGTGATAGTGAAGGCAAAGATAAACAGCTAGGACTACATCAAATTGAAGAGCTTTTGCACAGCAAAAGAGACAATAACAAAAACTAAGAGAAACCCCACCAACTGGGAGAACATTTTTGCACACAACACTAGTGATAAAGACTGATCACAAAAATCTGCAAAGAGCTGATGAGACTCAACAACAACAAAGAAAATAATCCTGTCAAAAAATGGGCAGAAGAGCTAAAAAGAAACTTCTCTGAAGAGGAAATACAAATGGCCAACAGGCATATGAAAAAATGTTCAACATCACTTGTAATCAGGGAAATGCAAATCAAAACTACCATGAGATACCAGTGAGAATGGCACATATTAAAAATACTAGCAACAACAAATGTTGGCGAGGTTGTGGAGAAAAAGGAACTCTCCTGCACTGTTGGTGGGAGTGCAAACTGGTCCAACCACTATGGAGAGCTGTGTGGAGATTTCTGGACCTACTAAACATAGAGCTTCCATATGATCCAGCAATTCCACTCCTAGGTATTTACCCAAAGGACACAGAAACATCAACTCCAAAAAGCACATGCACCCCTATGTTTATAGCAGCACTGTTTACAATAGCTAAGCTTTGGAAACAACCCAAATGCCCAAAAATAGATGACTGGATCAAGAAGATGTGGTACATATACACCATGGAATATTACTCAGCATTCAAAAAAGATAAACACATGCAATTTGCAGCAACATGGATGGCGCTGGAAGGGATCATGCTCAGCAAAATAAGCCAGAAAGAAAAAGAAAAATACCGGATGGTCTCACTTCATAGCAGGAATCTAGAAAACTTAAATAAGGGACCAGGAAAATGAATAACTATAAGAATGAAAAACATAATCAACAAACAACTATGAAAAAGATACACTCTGTGAGGGGTGGGGGTTCGGGAGGGGAGGGATTGGGGTCAAAATAAGAGGGTTGCAATTGTATGGGAAATATAAAAATAAAATTAAAAAAAAAAGAAAGAATATCTGTCCCTGAGCGATTTTTGTGAAGCAAAACTTGTAATGAACATAACCACAACTGGACATTATGACAACATGGCACTCAGCAGAAAGATGTCGAGACAGCAGGTTTCAGTGAGGGACACCAGAAACATCCTTAAGTGTAAGACTGACAGGAACCAAGACATCTCTTTTGTGGGAAACACAGAAGAGCAATTTCCTTTGGTGCTTTCTAAATTCATGCAGTGTTTTACGACTGCGATATTGCAGGAAAAGGGTCATTGATTAGGATGAAATGGAAATTTTGTGAGTGACACCTCAAACTGTTGCACTTACGTGGTTTCTCTAAATTTTTGTAACAATGGAAGTTCCCTTCACTACCTGAGATCCAAGAAATGAGGTTTAACATCAAGAAATGAAGTTTAAATCAAGTTTAACATCCACACACAAAAGATCAGGACAGAGGCTAGAAGAGAGCCCGGGAGAGGCAGAATGACTCACTAGTCTGCAGAATGAACTGTAAAGTGATGGATTCCATCAGTTTGTCCATGAAGGTGTGGGCTCTGATCCTGCTCAGGTATGGAAACAGACCTAGAGACCCACAGTCGGCAGTGGATCTGTGTATGTTCTTGCTGCAGCTCCATCCTCATCAACAGCCTCATGAGTTGAGTAGCATAATCTCACCCAGAGTGACCCTTTTTCAGTGCTCACAAAGGATGGTTTTGGAACCTGAATATTTGAATGCCAGACCCTGCACTGTGCCAAGTGTGCCAATGTGATATGGTTTAGTGTTGTATGTGATACGGTAGTCCACCAGCAAGTTGTATAAAAAAGTAAACTTCAAGGTATTTACAACTTGAAACCCAGTCTAACATGGTACCATGGGGAAAAGATCAAAATTCTGCTTGTCTAGACTAATCTATGGGCATTCTAGTCAATTACTATTCTCAGTTGAAAAAATTGAAGATAAATATACACAGACATAGACACTAGGGAAAGAAAAACAAAGAGGGATCCTCTCCGGCATTTCCCCTCTTTTTCTGGTTCAGTGAGAATAAGCCATTATTGTGATTTGCCCAACCATCCCCTCTGTCTAAGCTCTAGGATGGAAAATCGTATGAGATAAATCAACTCAAATTCTTACCTCCCACTTGCTTATTTGTGCTGTTATGGTCAACTTGCTATCTTGACATTTGGCTTCTAAAATTCGCAGGATTTTCACAGCTTTCTGGAGCTTTCCCTGATCAATTTTAGGTGAAAAAAAAATAGTCAACTTGAGAACTTTTTAATAGGCTCCTAAGTGGAATCCCCACCCTCCATCACTATTACCATAACATTAAACCATGTTGAATCCTTGCACTTACAGAACAAACACCCAGGGACTGTCTGTGCAGTAACATACCTGATCCCCTGGTGAACCTGAGCAGTTGGGAGGATTTGTACCATCACTTTTGTGCTGTAGAATCGAGGCTTAGGAAGGGGTTAGGTAACATGCACCAGCAGTCATCGCTATGATTCCCAGCTCAGCTGATGACTCAGAGTCCCCTGACCCAAAACCACAGTTCTGCCAGGGAAATGCTACACAAGGAGCAAGATAATAACCACCTACATGAGGACCATCTCCAAACTTCTATATATGGTAAGTTGTACATATTCTTCTAGATGCTTCTGCATATTTCACTGAGCAACAACTGGCCCAACTCACCACCCAAATCAAGGGGACTCCAGCATTCTTGTTTTGCTGATTTCTTTACCCTATTGACTGCAGGGTCCCTAAATTGTGGTGTGTCTGTCGCTGTTGTCAGATTCTGTCACATAGTCATGTACATTGTGGTTCTCAAATTACACAAACATGTAAAGATAAAACAGGCCAGCGTCGGTTGGGCACACTGTATTCTACAGCAGGGGGTCATCACAGCAAGGGTGAATAAGGACAAGACTTTGACCATCCACTAAATGTCAGGACAGTTAGGATTTATTTCTTGGGGACCCACAGTAAGCCATTTGTCAGAAAAATGATATGATGGACCTCCCTGGTGGTGCAAGGGGATAATCATCGTACTATGAAGCAATGCTCAGCCCCTGCAACATGAGTTCGATCCCAGATGGCCAGGTAGAAACCCACATGGCAAGGCAGACCTCTCCTGTCTCTCCCACTGCTCCCCTCAACAGTGTATTTCAGTCAATCTGCCTGTTCTGTTCCCTGCTGTCTCTGGTGGATCCTCTCACTCCCGCATCTCTGGCCTGTACCCCAGCAATTCTATGCATAAATAAATCAATCTTTAAAAAAATAACATGATGAAAGTCATTTTTCAAGATCATAAACTCTTGTTTCAGACTAAAAAATCTCAGGTCTGAGAGTTCAACATGAGAGCAGGTACTTGCTCAAGACCTCAGCCCACCCACTCACCTTGTAGTCTGGGCCTGCGTCCTCCACTAGAGCTGTGCTGTGTCCTCTGTGTTGGGGGGAGCGCTCACAGCGCCAGCAGATCAGCCTCATATCATCCTCACAGAACAGGTGGAGCCGCTCCCCGTGTTCCTCACACAGCCTCTCACTGTCTATCTCCCTGATGGTCTGAATGAGGTTTTCCAGTTGCTTGATGGATCGGAGACTCTTCCTTTCAAATGGTGCCTGGCACAGGGGACACTGGGACCTCCTCAGGGATGATGTCACTCTCGGGTTCTCAAGGATGCTTTCTATGCACCTGCAGCAGAAGCTGTGGCCACAGTCGATGCTCACGGGCTTCACCATCAGCTCCAAGCAGATGGAGCACGTGGCTTCCTCCCTCATCTTCTTGGTAGCTGTGGCTGAGGTCATGGCTCTTCTTGAAAAGCTCCAATATCAGGTTAGAGGCAGAGATGAAGTAGACAGAATTTTCCACAGTGAAGGACATAGAAGTAAGCTGGGCTTCCAGGTCTGGAAATCTGCTTGAAAAGCAATGGATTTGCATTTGGAACATGATACCATGTCACTATAATAACTATCACATATGGCCGCCAAAACTTAAATTAATGAAAACTGAAAGGATTACGGAGTTTCTCGGTCTCACTACCTGTGCCAATTGCTTAATATCTTAGATATGCCTGTGGCTACCTGCTGCCCCCAGTCTAGAATATTCCATCACTGAAAGTCTCTCTGAACCAAGTATTAAGAGAGACAGAGAAGCAACACAGGTTTAACTCACAAAAGTTGGATCAAGACAGAAGGAACTCAGTGAGGGACAGTGAAATTCTTTCCATGTCTAATGAGGATCAGGAATAATCAGTGCCCACATTACTCTTTGTCAGTGGCAGTAACACTCAGGAATTGGGGGAATCCTTGAAGGATTCTACTGAGACAATCACATCCGCCTCTATTCATCCCCACACCCCACACTTTCTCTTACCCACTCCCACACCCAAAGAACACAATACACCAGCTAATAAAATCTCATGGCGGTTCTACCAGGATGGTAACAGAAATCCACCAGGCAACAGGAAGAATCAGGTGTGTGTGTCAGGCTCTCTGTGCTGAGGTAAAGAGATCTGGGAAGAACTTGGGGAAAAGGGAGTTGGCCTGGAAGCAGACCCCCTAGAGATCCACCAAGGCCACTGTCTTCTTCAGGCCAGGACTTGTCTCCTGGGAGAAGGGTAGTGTGGATCTGGCAGGCAGAGAGGGAGGGGGAGAGACTAGAAGCAAAGACCCTCCCTTCTGGCCATGCTGCAGCCGCTTCTGCAAACTAGCCCTGACCCCACCCCTCTCACTGCTGGTCTCTGTGGCCAGAGCCTGCATTTGGGAGAAACTCCAGAGACCTGTCATTGGCAATCTCTGTATTAAGACCTGGGATTCAACTGAAGTTGCTGATTCGCTGTTTCCCTTCGATAATGGGAAGAACTTTCTCCAGCCATAGAAGAACTTCTCTAGGAGATTCTATTCCAAGGGAGGTGATTTCTCCCAAAGGATAAGGCTCCTCTCTCCCAGGTGTTCTGTGCTCTCGAAGAAAAAGGCCTCCTGCCTCTGGCACCCAGGGCACAGGACCTTCACTCACCTCACACCCCGGATCTTCTGAGATGTGGCATGGAATCTGTGAAAGAGAAAGCAGCCAGGGCGAGAGCTAAAAAGCAAAATCCTGACCATTTTCAGAGTTCCAGAGGCTCACCCACTGCCACCCTATCTCTCTGTCTCTGTCTCTCTCTCTTACACACACACACACACACACACACACACACACACACACACACACATACAGACAAACCTTGGCTTGTCTTCTCTCACCACCGGGCCCACTCAGCACAGTCTCATACTCAGGGTCAGTCCCTCTGCAGTTGCCTCTTCCTGCAGCCACGACGGGGAAGTGAACTCTGACTGCTAAACTCAGAAATGAAACTAATACAGCGTCAGGGTCCTGGACACGGGAAGGAAACTGTAACATTACCCATGTTTCCCACTCAGCATGTTCCAGAAGGGGTGAGGGAGACAGTACGTATAATGCCCTTGATTTAAGGGAGTAGAAAGAAGGGAGAGAGTGATAGCCCAAGACTCTGTCTTGAAAGAACAAAAAGAATGAATGAAGAGAAACAGAACTCCAGAGACACGTGGGGCACCATCACATATACACGTTAGGTATAATGGGACTCTCAGAAGACAAGACGAAAGTGCAACTTAAACAGCATACTCCTAAATAATCCACAGATTGTATTAGAGATCAGAAAACAGTTTGAGATGAATGAAAATGAAAGCCAACACACCAAAACTCATGTGATGCAACAGCAGCGCCTAGGAGACTGACAGATGTAAATGCCACATTAATAAAGTAAAAAGATCCCAATTCAATAACTTAACCTTCTATTTATTTTTAGATTTATTTATTTATTTATGCATACATAACTGGGGTCTAAGCTGGAGGTGTAGGGAGTGAGAAGATTCACCAGAGACAGAGTGGGGAACAGAACAGGCAGTCTACAGAAATACACTGCTGAGGGGAGCAGGGACGGGTACAGAAGAGGTCTGCTGTGCCATGTGGTCAGCTCCCTGGATCAAACTCATGCTGCAGTAGCTGGAGACAGCTTGATAGTGCTGAGACTTTAACCCCTGTGCCAACAGGAGGCCTTAAGCTTCTATCTTACGAAACTAGAAAAAGAGCAATTAAAACCAAAGCAAGTAGGAAGAAGTAAAGTAATGAACAATATAAGGAACAGGGCCTCCCTGGTGGTGCACAAGGAGCACCGCACTGTGACGCTGTCCGCAGCCTCTGCAGTGCGGGTTCGATCCTGGCCAGCCAGTGAGAATCCCACATGGTGAGGCAGACCTCTCTTGTCTCTCCTGCTGCTCCCCTCAGCAGTGTATTTCAGACCTTCTGCCTGTTCTGCTCCGTGCTCTGTCTCCGGTGAATGCTCTCACCCTCCCACGATTCTGGTCTGTACCCCAGTTCTTGTATAAATACATAAATCTTTAAAAAAAAAAAAAAAACTTTGGGCCTCCCCTGGTGGCATAGTGGTTGAGCGCTGGGCTGCAAAGCTGCCCACTGCAGAGGCAGTCTCTGCTGCACCGGTTCGATCCCCGGCTGCCTAGGAGGGTCCCACATGGCGCTACAAACCTCTCCTGCCACGCCCGCTGCTCCCCTCAGCAGTGTGTTTCGTCAGTCTGTCTGTTCTGTTCCCGCTCTGGCTCTGGTGAATCCTCTCACCCTCCTGTGCATCTGACTGTACCCAGTGCTTGTATAAATAAATAAACAAATCTTTCAAAAAAAAAAAACTTGTGCATAACAGTTCATAGTGGTACTATTCAAACTAGCCCCCAAGCAGAGACAACCCAAATGCCCATCCACTAATGAAAGGACAAATATAGTATAAAGCCCATGTAATGGTATATGAACAAAATACCAATCATGCACCCATATTAATGAAACTTGAAAACATCTACTAATTGAAAGAAGTTGGACACAAAAAGTCACTTCGTGTATGATACTTTTTTGTTAAATGTCTGAAATCGGTAAATACATAGAGAGAAGGTAGATAGTGTCCTTGCCGAAGACTGACAGTGTGTGTGTGTGGTGGGGGGGTGGTAAATGAAGAGTTACTGATTAATGATCTGAGACTTATTTAGAAGAAATGAAAATGTTCTGAAATTTAAAGTGACATCTGTACAAATTTTTGAACACACTATGACCACTATAACCCTTACAAAAGGTGGATTTTATGACATGAAATGTCCCTTAATAAATATCCTTAATAAATAATCCTTAAAAATATCCTTAAAAATCCTTAATAAATGTGCCTTAAAAAATATCCACCTGTGCAAAGAAACCATTGACTCATGATGAATGAATGAATCAGTCAATCAAAATTTACCCAGGAAAGATGCAGAACTTGAGTAAAGGATACTACGGCAGTTATTATTACTGCCTTCATATGTTCAGATGTTACACAGATACCTAAACAAAATTAAATTTCTAGAAATGGAGACTAGCGCATATTAAAGGTACAACAGGATGAATGACTGATGCAACCCTGCAAAACAAACTATTAGGAACTAGACGGTCCAGCCACAGAAACTATATAAAATGAAACCAAGACAACAGAATCAGAATAAAAACAAACCAAAAAATGAACAGGTGTCAGCGGCTGCGCAGCAGCTTCGTGTCTCCTACTATAAATGCTCGTTCTGCTCCTGCAAGTGTGGAAAGGGGAGGAAAGACCAGGGAAGGGGCAGAAAGTATATATGAAGAACTGGTGGATGAATTTTTTTCCTAAATAGCAGAAACTGTCACCCTTCTCATCCACGCATTTCACCGAACCCATTTCAGAAGGAAGGCTGCCCCACGCAGTGAGGGGGACAACGAAGAATCCGAAGCAAAGGTGGCCAAGCACTGACTTTAATAACTGGGGTTGAGCAGCCGGTCTCCACTGTCGGGACCTTCCCCTAGAAATGCCCCCAGGGAAACGCGCCCGCGACACTCCCCAGGCGGGAGGGCGGGTCCTCCGGCTCCGCACCTCACCGGCCCCGAACCCCAGGCTTCCCGCCGCACCCCCTATTCCCGCCCGCTCCCCGCCCGCCCCCCGGGGTGCTCCTGCGTGAGCCTCACCGCCTCTCCCCGCGCCGGCCCAGCCCTGTCGCCGTCATCTTCACACCGAAGCTTCCCCGGAGTCTCCTCAGCCGCCGCTGTCAGGGGAAGGCGGGCCGCGCGGGGAAGACCGACCCGAGACCCTCGGGCGCAGCCGCAGCCGCAGCCGCAGGCGAGGGGGGCGGGGGCGCCGGGGGAGAGGACCTGGGCCCGCGCCGAGGCGCCGCCGGTAGGAGGCGCCAGAAAACGACGCCTTCAGCAGCGCGCCCCGGGCGCCCGGAGGCTGAAGGGGGCGGGGCCCGCGGAGGCGGAGCTCCTGGGGGGGCCAGGAGTGGGGGCGGGGCTCGGAACCGGGCCCCTGGGGCGGGGCCAGGATTGGGGCGTGGTTGGGGGCGGGGCTCCTGGGGCGGGGTCAGGCCAGCCCGCGGGGCGCGGGGCGGTGCTCCCTGGAGCTCAAACTTCCCGCGCGGGCTGGGAGTCAGCCTGACCTGGTCTCGCTCCTCCGTGGCCTGTCCTGTCTGCGTGCATCTCATAAGTAACCCATCATCTGATGTGAGAATCACCAAAGAGGTGACACGGATTATTCTTAGAGACTAAGGCAAAGATGAAAGTCATCTTTGTCAGAAATAAGCCTATGACCTCCCCCTTCAGGTGGTCACCTCTTTCCAGAACTAGGCTCTGACAGTGGCGGAGAGACTGTAACTCCAGTGCCTCTGCATCCTCACAGCAAACAGTCCCGGCCAGTGTGTGCGCGGACCTGGACTTTATCCTCTGACCAAGAGTCCCACGGATATAGACGGGAGGCTGAGGTCAAGGGCAGCCACACAATCCTGCAGCCCAGCCTGCTCCAGTCTGAGGACACACCCGTGTACAGGCACCTCCCACCACTGGGGCCCCAGAAGAGAGACCCCAGCAGGGGTGGCACCTTGAATGCCTGCAGGACCCACCACAGGAATGAAAGGGGTGCTCAGAGAGAGGGGTATATGTGCTCTTCTGGAAGTTTGGCTGGACCTGGGTAAGGAGAAAGAAATGATCCCTGATCACCTCTGGTGGGAAAAGAGGCCCCTTCAGAGTCACTGCAGAACCACTACCAGGTGTCAGTTCTCTGAAGGGTGTCCGCCTTCCCCCCACCCCACCCCCACCCCCGGCCATATCCCATTTTAAAAATGTCTGCATCAACATGATATTTCGAACATTTCCAGGTGATCAGAATGAGCTGCAAGGGCTGACCACAAATTTGTCATTTCTAAAATAGGTTTCATATGTTTTGGAATTGGAGGCCCTAAGAAGGGAATAAATTACCCAGGATCTCACAAAGATTAAATGATCATGGGCCATGATTCCTCTTTAGCAAGTCATATCTCTGAAAGTGTTAGGGAGAAAAGGATGTCCTAAAGCTAATTCCATACAGGCTTTGTGGACTCCACCCCAACCCCAGGCCAAAGCCAAAGACACTGGGAACTCCAAATCCCATCACCACCAAAGGGAAGGTAGCTGGGACCTGAGGGTGGGGTTAAGCAGCCAGGTGGATATAAAAGGCAGACACGCGGGCTTTGGGGGATCCCCATTTTGGCTCTCCACCAGCTCGCAGCATCCGGCCAGCTCTGAGAGTGACTTTGGGTTTCCAGGTCGTCGGATCGGGTAGGACGCATTAAAGACTTTATTTCCCTATTTTCTCCCTGAATTGTACATTTTCCTTATTTCCTTTTCCCTTGTAAATAAACCTTTTATTAACCTTTTGTGTGTGTCTGTAGTGGAGTATTAATAAGTCCCTTTTAAGCGCACAGGTGAGGACCCACAGCCAGGAACCCATTCAATATCAGGGTTGCTCTATAACAAAAGTACATTGCAATCTTGGTATAAATTAACCAAAAACAAAAGCTCATGTCTTGTTTCATATGTGCCTGAGCACATATCACAGCAATCTGGGAGTAGAGCCCCAATATTACACCTGAAGAAAATGAGGCCTAGACAGATGCTGTCACTTGTCTCTTTTTAAAGAAAATCAGAAGTCAGACATAAATCAGGCTCTGCTTTGGATGGTAGCAAAACTTATTTTTATCTCCAACTAGTATCTTCATCAAACCCAGCGTGTCCATCTCACTAAACAGGTGCTCAGGAATGGCAGCAACATGTAAAGACAACCAACCCCACACTTTCCCACCATCGTCAGAGAGTTCAGGTCTGAGAGGACAGAGACAAAGGGAAAGGACAAGTCAGCAGGAGGGAGAAGTCAGTGGGAAAGAGCATTGCATGCAGATGGCTGAATCCCTTCCAGCATGTGCACCCCTTAATAGTTTGGGATCCCTGGGTAACCATCAGTACATGCTACGAAAACCGACATAAATGACTTCTGGGCTAGTGAATTCATCCATATACCAGGAGGGTGGTGCACCCCATTCCATTGGGACAGAACCTCTAACAGCCAGGGAACACTGTGGAGCTCCTTTTATCAGGCTGTTCATTTCTAGCCTTTATCACATCCTTTATTCTAGAATAATCCAGGAACCAAAGTGTTTCCGTGAGTTCTCTGAGCTGTTCTAGCAAAAGATCAGTCCCAAAGAAGGGGTCTGGGGACCTCAGATTTATGGCCCAGTAATTAATGGCCAGAAGCACAGATGAACCACATGTGACTGGTATCGAGGTGGGAACAGTCTTGGGGCACTGACTACTTACCTGTGCCATCTGCTCTAACTTTAGTTATGTCCACTGAATTGAACTGCATGATACCCAGTTTGATGGGAAAAAACCTCCAAAATCTAGGCCAGACATGAAGTGTGTGTGTGGTGAGAGAGCAAAGGAGAGATGGAGTTTTTCCGAATCCCAGGTGCCTTCCGCATCCACATGGAGTTCTCAGAGTAAGCAACTCTGAGGGGCGGTTACAGCATGGGCTGCAAGAGAATCTTAACTAAATAATTTTTGTTATAGGTGACAAGCAAAGGAAAATTATTTCTAGGTGGGAAATAATGAGAAAGCAAATATAAGGAATGGAAGGATAGGAAGGGTTAGTTTCACCCACATTTGTTATGTGGATCCCTCTAGTGTGATTTCTGGGCTGATAAAGTTCTAGATAATGTGGTGCTAACTTCTGTCCTCCTAGTAGAGAGGAAATGAGACACATTATATAAATTTATTCCCACAATCTTTTTTTTTAAAGCTTTATTTATTTATGCATACAAGAACTGGGGTACAAGCCAGAGGTGTGGGGGGTGAGAGCATTCACCAGAGACAGAGTGGGGAACAGGACAGGCAGACTGACTGAAACACACTGCTGAGGGGAACAGCAAGCGAGACAGGAGAGATCTGCTGCGCCATGTGGGTAGCTCCCTGCCAGGGATCAAACTCCTGCTTCAGTGGCTGCGGATCACTTCACAGTTTGCATCTCAACCCTTTGCGCCACCAGGGCGGCCCCTATGTCCACAATCTTGCAATAGGGAGTGATCAGAGAGTTTTCTTTATCTCAGTTTTCTCATTTACCTTCAGTTCAATGTAAGTCATATGCCAAAGTGGCATATTCTGGATGGTCTATTCCCCAACACTTCATTTTCAAGTCACAACCCAGCCTCTATCAGCATGACTAGGAGACCTTGTGAGACTGAGGTGGGTGGTAGGTGATGGATAATCTGACCTCTTCCCTGTCTCCCTCTGGGTAGATGCATCCAACATCCCAAAAACACACTTAGAATTCATTGTCCTCCTTGTGAGAGGATATCAGAACATTTCAACGTCAACACACATTGATTTTTACATCAACTACATATCATGACATTTAGCAATTTGGTGACATTCATGGGACATCACTAATGCAGCTTGAGATGTGGTTTAGTACACCATGGTGATGGCCTTAGCTTACTTAGGCCGGATAATTTAAGTATTGATAAGGATGTATCTGTGTATCGCTAAGGCTATTAGAGCATATCTGATAAAACAGACTATCAAAATCCTACCAGTGAGAAATACTTTTTGAGATTTTAAAATATTTCAAGATAGGGCCTGCCTGGTGGCCTAGGGGTGAAGTCTCCACTATCACCACTACAACCCAGCCAGGGGTTGCCAAATATGGCACAGCACACCTCCCCTGTCTAGCCCACTGCTCTCCTCAGCAGTGTATTTCAGTAAATCTGCCTGTTCTGTCCCCACTCTGTCTCTGCTGAATCCTCTCACCTCTGACCTACACCCCAGTTCTTCTATACACACAAAAACAAATTAAATTTATTAAAATATTTAAAGATAGGTGGCACTAGCATAATCTGAAATAAATCAATTTCATTTCTAGACTGAAACCCTGTCAAAGTTCATTTTTACAATTAATCTCCTTCCTGTCTGAACCCTCTCACTGTAAACCACCATAGCTTTTCTCATACACGTCACCTGCTTATCACCTAAGTAGACTCACTAGGTCTGGAAGGTATCTATACTTACAATGACATCAAGGACAACAGCTCAGAGGTTAGAAGGGTCACCATTATTTTTTGATGTTCCTGATCTTCTATGCAGCTGACAGCAACAACTATAGTTTCCCCTCTTCCCCACACATGACTTCTGATGCTATCAAACAAACTGGGAGCACTCACCTCTCTGACCTCTGGCTACACTGATGGTCAGACCAGGAACTGGGAAATCAGAGATCTGAACCCTCTGAAGATGGGTGGAAAGGACAATGTATACCTGTGGCTGTTATCTTATATTCTCCACTCATTAAGATGAACAACGACAGTATTTTTAGTCTTTATATACATTCACCCAGTGCAGATCTATTTAGTATCCACTCAGAATTGGGCACTGTTCCAGGTAAAGAAAAATGTAAGTGAAGGAAAGACCAAGTTTCTTCCCTGATGGAACTTTTATTATATTCTCTAGGATGGTTACACCAAGAAGGAGGCTACAGAAACCTATTCCTTTCTTTACTGTTATTGTGAATTTAGGAATAAAGTGCAACCTTGAGAAACACCAAAAAAGGGCCGGAGAGTATCAGAGAAGGAGGCCCTTGGAAAGGTGAAGATGTGGGAGACAGTACATGTCACGTTGTAAAAGGACACACGTCCGGCCTCACAGTCCACAAAAACCCCCAAAACCCAGATTTGCTCCTTCAGAGGAAGGGAAGTTGGGGGATTGGTAAGGGCTACATACTCTTTCCCTTTCCACAATCTGATGACCCAGAATCCAGACGTAGGTTGCAGACTCATGAGAGCACGTCTGGGTGCATTTTCCAGACAGACTCCTAAATCCCACCCAGAATCTTCTCCCACATCCACTTCAAAGTAATGTCTTCCTGAGGTGAAGCGCTCACAGCCAAGGACCCAGGGTAGGTCAAGATATCTTAGAGAATTTCGAAGGTTCAACTGGGGCCCTCCATAGGTCACTTGTCTTCGATTCTCAGAGATAATTGCGTCAGTATGAGCTGTATCTGGATCCAGAGTCACACAGACTGCAAAATAAAACAAACAGAAAACAAAAAAGCACATGTTTTTGATGTCTTTAGTTTTCAAGAAACTAGCCTGTGTTCAAATGCAAGCTTTGTTTCCTGCTGGGTGCATGAGTCATCCTCTATCTTTAAATATAAAGAGGAAATCCTAGTGTCGCAGATAACAGTGTGGAAGATATTTGAATGAGCAAACATAAGCGTAAGGGCTGGTGAAATTCCTGGTATATGGGAAATGATCAATAATGGATAGTAAAAATAAATATCATCATCACCATCTCACCACTCAGAGAAGCCAAGGACCAGAACTACCCAGAGTGATAATGTTACTGTCCCCCCGCCCCCCAAAGTCCCTCATCTCCTATCTAGGACAAGAAGGAATCACAGAAGATTTGAGCAGAGCCAGCCCTTCCCATTTTAATAATAACCACCCACACCAAGAATAAGAAAGGAAAATAACAAAGCTAAGGACATAGCTTATTACTGAAGGCCCAGAATTTTTCCCAGACCTCAGGAAACCTGCCCCATGCTTTTTAAAGTATAAGCTTTTCTGTCTTGTATCAGCTAATGGATTAGCTGTAATGGAAACCAATACACATAAAAAACATGTAACTATTGATAGGGTCAAGTAAAATAGAAAAATATATGATAAACTTAAGTGTGACACTGAGCAGCTGAGCAGTATTAAAATGAACAGAAGTTGTAGCAACAGAGTCAAGTACACACTGTGTTGGGGTGAAACACTGATTACTGGACTCCAGCAGTAAGGGAAATCAAGTTGCAGAAACTCTCTTGTCCTGGGGGCTCACTTTTCCCCCTCAAGATCACTCAAGGTCACTCCCCACCTTTCTCCACTCTGCTGTTCCCAGTGAAGCCATACGTCTCTCAGGCTCCATTTTCTCTGACTTCTACTTGCTTGAGCCAGTGGGAAGCACAGAGGACATGATAGGACAAAGACAGACTGCCTCACTGGGCTGGGGGTGCAATACAAATAGCTTAGAAATCAATAGTAAAGACCCAAATACTTACAGAAAGATGAATAGAAAATATCTACATCATAATGTAATATATATACAATTGAACGTTTATAAAATAGTTCATATAGAAAAGCCAACAGTGAAACAGTTAGTGACAACTATTTTAAGCCTATCAGAAGATATGGGATATAACAGGCTTCCACAGATCACTAATGTCAAGAACCTAATAGAAACATTCTCAAATCAGAGTAAACCCTGGGTAATCAGAGAATCCCAAAGGGTCAATGGACTTAACAAAAAGAAACTGAACCTCTTTAGTGAAAAGAGAGAAATAAAATTAAGTCACAAACAGATTCCAGATCAAATCCATGGGGTTGTCAAGTGTTCAATAGTGAGACAAGTCACACAGAAGTGTGCTACAGTGGGTGTCTCCTACTACGGGTTGGAAATAGTCATACAATTTTAAGATCTGCTTATGTTGTAAAATTAAAATGTGCATCCCTGTATAATACTGATTCCATTCAAGGTACATCTGAGCCATTCAAGAAAAGAAGGAAGCATGAACCAAAATGTTCACAGAAATATTTTGTGCATAGCAATTAAAAATAAACAAGAAAATAACAAGTGACTTGAAGCCTTCAATTAAAAAAAAACAAACACTGATTACCACACTGCAAAGTGACAAAGAGTTCTAGAGCTATCGGCTGAGTTCCCAGACCTCCACTGTGGGGACTTAGAGCACTCATTTCACCTGTTGTGTCTCAGATTCCTCATCTGTATCAAAGCCCCGACAGGGAGGACTGTGAATAAAACAGGAGAGCACATGCGGCGTCTTCTCATCAGAAGACAAAATTCCTAAACAAACTAATCAGCCATAGAAAGCGCTCAGTTAGGTGAGTGGAACCTTGCAGGTGGCAGTGCCTGTTGCTTCACTAGGACAAGCTACCTGGTAACAGGCATCAGGATAACACCTTCCAGCAACCCGGGCCTTAGGAACATGCCGCACAGAAATGAAAGCTCTGGGATACAAGCCTGTGTGGACTAGAACATCACTGCAGAATTGCTGTCACCCCCAGTGCTGGAGAGCTTGAGGCCCCATCAGCAGGGATAAGGTTACATATAATTAGGATAGTCTCATGGAGTGGTAGTTTAAATGTCATAGGTGACATAGGAAGAGACTTCAATAAATTAGACTAAATGCTTGTACAGAGAAAGACCTAGATCTGGCTACCTTGAGAAGCAGACCTAGAAGTGGGGAGGGAAACTGAAATTTTCTTCATGCTTGTCATATTGTATTTTTCTGATTACAATTTTTTTGTAAAATGATTTTAGAAAATTTAATAGTAAATTTAGTTATATCATTGATACTATTGTAATTATTATATTATTAATAATTATATGTAGTAATATATAGCTTTATATTATATATTTTACATTATTGTAAAATAAATGTTATATATAACACAATTTACTACATATTACTATAATTATTAATATATTATCATATATTATAGTAAAATGCTTTAATAATGGGGGTTTTAAAAAAGAAGGTAATATATTTTTTAAAATTTTATTTTATATAATTCTTATATCATTTTTCATTTTTGCACAATGTATGCATTTTCATCATGGTTATATTCCCCATACAATTGCACCTCCCCTTATTTTGACACTACTTGTTCCTCTCCCCGCCTCTCCCCCCCCCCCGGTTTATAGTGGCTTGTTGATTTTGATTTTTACTTTGTATTAATTAGTCTTTTTCCTTGTCACTTATTTAGGTTTTCTAAATTCCTGCTATGAGTGAGATCATCCGGTATTTTTCTTTTTCTTTCTGATTTATTTCACTGAGCATGATCCCTTCTAGCTCCATCCATGTTGCTGCAAACTGCATGTGTTTATCCTTTTTGATTGCTGAGTAATATTCCATTGTGTATATGCACCACATCTTCTTGATCCAGTCATCTATTTTTGGGCATTTGGGTTGTTTCCAAAGCTTAGCTATTGTAAATAGTGCTGCTATAAACATAGGGATGCAGGTGCCCTTTGGAATTAATGTTTCTGTGTTATTTGGGTAAATACCTAGGAGTGGAATTGCTGGATCACATGGAAGCTCTATGTTTAGTAGGTCAAGAAATCTCCACACAGCTCTCCATAGTGGCTGGACCAGTTTGCACTACCACCAGCAGTGCAGGAGAATTCCTTTTTCTCCACAACCTCGCCAACATTTGTTGTTGCTAGTTTTTTTAATATGTGCCATTCTCACTGGTGTAAGATGGTATCTCATGGTAGTTTGGATTTGCATTTCCCAGATTACAAGTGATGCTGAACATTTTTTCATATGCCTGTTGGCCATTTGCATTTCCTCTTTGGAGAAGTTTCTTTTTAGCTCTTCTGCCCATTTTTTGACTGGATTATTTTCTTTGTTTTTGTTGAGTCTCATCAGCTCTTTGCAGATTTTTGTGATCAGTCCTTTATCATTAGTGTTGTATGCAAAAATGTTCTCCCAGTTGGTAGGGTTTCTCTTTGTTTTGGTTATTGTCTCTTTTGCTGTGCAGAAGCTCTTTAATTTGATGTAGTCCCAGCTGTTTATCTTTGCCCTCACTATCACTGCCTTGGGTGATGCGTCTATAAAGATGTCTTTGAGGTGCATGTCATGTAGTGTTTCACCTATATTTCCTTCTATGTATTTTATGGTTTCAGGTCTTATGTCTAGTTCTTTAATTCATTTTGAGTTGGTTTTTGTGTATGGTGTGAGGCAGTGGTCAAGCTTCATTCTTTTGCATGTAGCGACCCAGTTTTCCCAGCACCATTTATTGAACAAACTTTCTTTGCTCCAGTGCACATTCTTTGCTCCTTTGTCAAAGATTAGTTAATCATAAATCTGTGGGTTTTCTATTCTGTTCCATTGGCCCGTGTGTCTGTTCTTATTCCAATACTATGCAGTTTTGATGATTATGGCTTTGTAGTGTAGTTTGAAGTCTGGGAGTGTGATGCCTCCATTCCAAGAAGGTAATGTATTTAATTAAGAGATAAGCCCATTTCTGAAACAGACTGACTTGAACCTCCTTGAAATGCCATGTGCGAAAATAAAAGAAGGCAAATCAGCTCATTGAAATCTGGACATGACCTTCATAAAGTTCTGATTTTTCCTTCCTTGAATCTTTGTCCAATCAAATTATGAGATACATTTTTTGGTGTCTGCTGTTGATATTAACTGGGGACCACATACAAATGCATGATCCCTTGCCTATAACCCCGGGCATAGGGGCAAATATAAAAATTCAGAATATTTTCATGTTATAAAGACATAAAATAATACACATACATGGTGTATCCACCACCAGCAAGTGGGATAAGTAAAGATCTCAAATAGTCTCCTATCAGTGTGATGTAGGATTGGCCACTGTGAAGGGCAGACCCAAGGTGGTGTGCATGATCCCTGCCTTCTCACTTTATTGTCTTATAAAACTTCTTTAACTATGGGTATAACCTAAGATTTGCCTCTGATAATTGCCTCGGACCACTGACAAAAATAATAGGATGTAATCCCATGATTATATTTCATTATATGATTCCATTTTAATTGCTGACTTACTCTGCTCAGAGACTGTCTCTCCTGAGCTTGTTTGCAAGAAATAACTGGCCAGGTTGGGAGGCCCATGTGCAAGTTGAGGAGTAGAAGTTTCCAGAAGCTGATGGCAACAGCTGCTAAGAAGTCAGGGCCTAAATTCTATAACATTAAAGAAACAAATTCTGCCAACAACTGGAAGAAGACTGGAAGAGAATTAATGCCAAATTGATCCACCAGCTGAGCCCATAAATGCACTGTGTGACCCCATGTGAGCTGGGCCCAGATTTCTGACACATGATATTAAGAGATAAAATGTGTTGTTGTTTTTAAAATACTATTTTGCAGCCATACATAACTAAAGCAGTCACCAAATCATTTCCAGTTAGGTCTGATTTTGTGGACAAGTGAGTTATGGAAAATATTCAGTTGTCAAAGTATTTGAATTTTGGAATTATGGCTAAGAGGTAATGGAAATATAACAAGCACTGATTAAGAGAATCAAGAGACAGGATTATAATTGGTAAAATGTGGTTTTTCATTAGGATTCTAACATTTACCATGCTGTCTGGGTCAAGGCCCTAAAGCCACTAACCCTCACAGTACATTAACCTCACCTACCTTCCTTGCATTGTTCTCAGACTGCACTGAGACATTAACAATAAACATTACATGTGAGACACTGTTGTAAATACTTCATACAGATTGATGCATTTCATCTTAATGACAGCATAATGACGTGAGAATTTGTTAGTATTTTTACTTTCCAGGTGGGAAAACCAAGACGGGTCATATACTTGGCATGACACCAGTAATAAACAGGAGAAGAGGAATTTGAAAAGCCTGCACAGATCACCAGCATCCTGTGTCCCTGTCCAATCACTGAGGCATCCTAACAAGAGAGAGAGTGCGGCAGCCCTGTGAAAATAACTAAACAACCGATGTGGCTATGAGCCTATCCAGGGGCAGGTAGTGAACTTGGTTAAAACTTAAGGTGCCTTTTGTCCACAGCACTTAAGAGCTTGTTAACTTCACAAACCTTGGTAGCTCTTTAACATTTTCTTCAAATCCAAGTAAAGCTCAGAAACATTGCACACAGTCTGAAGCTCCAAAGACACAGCCTCTGGTACTTTCAGCTCCACAGCCGAACTCCTGGAACCAGCAGAGGACGGAGACATCTTCAGTGAACATTCCATAAAGTTCAATGTACTCCTATCCCTTCACCCCTGTACTCATACAGCACTTACCTACCCAAGGTGTCTCTCATGTCCTACAGAGAAACAAAGGCACAAGGTGAGTGTGGAGCAGCATATTTTATGGAGCTTGACATGTGGACTAAACTCTAACCATTCCCCTCAAAGAAGAGACGACCCAGCTACAGACAATGACAGCTACCAGGTAAAGTGATACCCTCTGTCCCTTAGGATACCAGCATGGCATCTAGTTCTTCACACACTGAGTCTAATAACTTTCTTACTGCCACCCATGCCTCTAATCACATCAGCCTGTGGGCTGCTTGGGGAAGAAGGACAGAAGCTTCCTATGTCCCTCTGGAGATTTGCTTTCAGGGACCTAAAACCCTTCCAAGCAGCCCATGTTAGAGGCTTATCACAAATGTCCTCAGCGGTGAGCAGAGGCAGAGCCGCTGAAAGACCTACTCAGGTGGTGGCAGCAGGTGTCACCTGGTGACAGAGCTGTCACGCTACATCCTCACAGCGTGACATCCAGTTCTATGGAGGGAATGAAAAGAAACAGCTCTAGGATCTATGTGAAGGGGGTGGATCCTTCATGCAGCCTGAGCAAAGCCCCATAAGAGCTCCTGGAGCAAGGACTACAAACAAATCAGGGAGAGTGTCTCATACATTGTGGCTGACCCATTTCATCACCCACAAGTCAAATGGAGGAATCTTCCAGGAAAAAGTCTGCAGTCAGGGTGCTGTGCACATGGGACAGAGATAGATGGTAGCTCACGGAATCCGAGGGTACATATTGGCCAAGGAATCTAGCTCATGTATGCAAAGTGAATATATTTTATGACTCGCATAAAGGTACCCTATAGATTACAGGAGGCCATCCTACAAATAATGATGTGTATTTAAAAGAAACACTACATTAAATCCTTACAGTAATTCCCCGCCTCCCAGTGTAAGTGGAAGACCTTGCCATCTTCCCCTGCTTCTCTCCATGGTCCCCTTAACACTCGGGCACAGACACCTCTTCTGCATCCTCCCAGGGCACAGCCTCACCTGCAGCAAATCTTGGGCTGATTGCTGACATTTCTTCTCTAGTTCCCGGATGTAGCTTTTGAGTTCCTGGCTCTGCTTTTCCAGACTCGCCTCACTGTCCTTCAGACTCCTGAGAGTCTGCTCTTTTTTTTCTTCCAGTCTCCACAGAAACCACATCTCCTCTCCATGGAGGAAGTTGTAGAGTTTATCAAATTCAAACTGGATTTTCTTTCTCTCATGCACTATCTTCTCCTAGAATCAAGAAAGGATGCCCAAAAGGTGCAAACAAACCAAAACTCATTTATGCATGAAATGAGATACAAAATGAGGTGCATAAGCACAATGGGAAACTCTTCCACCTTACAAATATGTGGAAGCTGATACAATGTGGATGAGCCTTGAAGACATTATGGCAAGAAACGTAAGTCAGAATGAAAGGACAACAATTTTATGATTGTTTTTCTATAGGCACATAGTCAATTTAAAAAGAAAGTAGAAGGCCAGGGACATGGTGGGAGAGGGAAAACAGGGACATTGTTTAGGGGGATAGAGATTCAGGTTGGAAGGATGAACTTGTTCTGCAGATGGAGAGTAGAGTTGAGGGCACCCCAATATCAAGATGATGCCAATAATATGAACACAGAGGATGCTGAAAATGCTAAACTTGATATGTATATTTTTAAGATCACAGACACTTGTAGAAAGTAAATTTTTGAGATACTGTGATATATTTTTGCCTCTATATGAGTTATCTGAGGAGGAGGAACGTGCATGTTCCTGCTGCAGAGTGAGGCCCAGGGGGCAGGACTCAGATGTGGGAGAGGCGGTCACAGTTCTCTATAGTCAACTCAGTAATTTCCTTCTTCAGCCAAAGCATAAGAAAAAGAAGTACAGGCAGCTCGATTAATTATGGAAGTAAAGCCAAACACTAGTAAATCCAGTTTATGTATTTGGATGTAAGAAGGTATATCTGTCTCTGATGGAACTTTGTGAAGCAAAAGTTTGTGATGAACATCACTGAGACTAGACATTAACAGCAAGTAGGGGAGTCCATGATTGTCAACAAGGGAGGTCTGGGTGGCAGAGTTTGATCAGAGTTACCAGAAATACTAATTAGCCAAGTTGTATCCCTTTAATTGTTTTGTCTAAGATGACAGAACCAAATAATTATTCATTTGCGAGATAAAGAATTGCAATTTCTGGGCCTCCCTGGTGGCGCAGTGGTTTGAGCACAGTGTTTTGAAGCTGTCCGCAGCCTCTGCAGCAGGGGTTTGATTCCCAGTCCGCCAGGAAGATTTCCACATGGCGCAGCAGACCTCTCCTGTCACACCCACTGCTCCCCTCAGCAGTGTATTTCAGTTGGTCTACCTTTCTATTCCCTGCTCTGTCTCTGGTGAATCCTCTCATCCCCCACACCTCTGGCTTGTACCCCAGCTCTTGTATAAAAATAAATAAATCTTAAAAAAAAAAAAAAGAATTGCAATTTCCACTGGTGATTTCTCAGTTCATTCATTGTTGTATGGCTGTGACATTGTGGTCAAGGATCATTGATTAGGATAAAGTGGAACTTTTGAGTAGAAGGCGAGGACAGCTGGACTCTGGCATTGGTGTGGTTTCCCTGTATGTTTCTAACAATGGAAGTTCTCCCTACTACCTAAGATCCCAGAAACAAAGGAAGTATGACTGTATTTGATATTTCAAGCTTAACAGTCACATACAAAGGAACAGGAGGAAGGCTGGAAGAGACTCCAGAAACTGGCAGAATGACTAAATAGTACAATTAACTGTAAAGTGATGGTTTACATCAGTAAGTCCATAAAAGCGTGGGCTCTGATCCTGCCTAATCTATAGAAGCAGACTTAGCGACCCACAGTCTGCAGTGGTCTGTGTATGTTTCTGCTGCAGCTGCATCCTTAGCACTAGCCTCATGAAATGAGTAACCTGGAGTGACCCTATTCTCAGTGCTCACAAAGGATAACTTTTGAACCTAGAAAGTGGAATGTCAGACCCTGCACTGGGATAAGCGTGCCAAGGTGATATGGTTAAACTTCAAGCCAGGAAGTGATTTAGAATTTGAATTATTTAAACTTTGAGATATTTACAACTTGAAACCCAGTCTAGGACAGTTAAATGTAAGAAAGCTCAAAATACTGCTTTTACAGATTGAGGTTTTGGACATCCTAGACAATCATGGTTGTAAGGGTAAAAATAGGTAGATAAATTCTCATAGACACTAGGGCCATAAAATAAAAGATGTTTCTTCTTGGGTTTTAGCTATTTGATCTGGTCTAGTGAGAGCAAACTAGAAGGACTTTGCCCAACCATCACTTTATCAATGAACTTGGATGCAAAATAGCTTGAAATGAATGAACTCAATTTCTTACCTTCCATTGCCTTGTTTGCTCTTTTGTGGCTAACTTCAGACTCTGACATTGGTTTTCTTGTTCCCTCATGTCTGTCAGAACTATCTGGAGAATTTCCTGTTAAAAATAGCATGGAAAATTATAGTTAATTTTACAAACCTTCTTTAGGAACCTCAATGGATTCCTATCCTCCAGGACTATTAATAAGGAAGACTTTAAATACTGTTGACGGTCACACTTTCAGAGAAGTGCCATGAAGGAGGTTTGTGCAGTAACATATTTGATCCCCTAATAACCTTGAGAAGTTGGGAGGTTTTTTACCAACATTTCTGTGCTGTAGAATCTGAGGCTTAGGAAGGGGTTGAGTAACATGCAGCCGGGGACATCGCCATGATGCCAAGCTCATCTGCTGACCCAGAGTCAGCTGACCCAAAACCACAACACTGCCAGAGAAATGCTGCACGTGGCACATGATAATAACATACACAAGACTACTTTCTCTAAATTTCTGTATATGGTGAGTTGTGTGTCCTTGCAGACTCTCTTCCTACTGGCTGGGACCCTAGACTGGACCCAAGTCAAAGGCACTCCAGACACTCTTATTTTGCTGATTTGCTTACCCTTTTGACTGCAGGATCCCTGAAAGGTGGTGTGCTCTGTCCCTGTTTTCAGATTCTGTCAGAGGGCCCTGCACATTGTAGTATTTCAAATTATACACACAAGTGAAGATAAGACAGGCTGGTGTGGTTGAGCACACTGCAATCTACGGCAGGGGTCATCACAGCAAGGGTGAACAAGGATGAGACTCTGACAATCCACTGAATGTAAGGAGGACATTCAGGATTTTATTCAGTGGGGACCTGTCTTATACTGAAGAAAAATGTGATGAGTGTTTTAAGACCATAAAGTAGTATTTCAGGCAAAGTAATCTCAGATCTGAGAGTTCAATAAGAGAATGGGTACTGATGTAGGCCTCTCATCCACTACTCACCCTGAAACCTGGGGCTGCCTCCTCCACAAGTTCTATGCTGTGTCCTCTGTGCTGGGGGGAGTGCTCACAGCGCCAACAGATGAGCCTCCCATCGTCCTCACAGAACAGGCGGAGCTGCTCCCCGTGTTCTTCACACAGCCTCTCACATTCCAGCTCCTTCATGCTTTCAATGAGGTTTTCCAGTTGTTTGTTGGGCCGGAGACTCTCTCTTTGGAATGGTTTTCGACACAGGGGACAGGTAAACTTTTCCTGGTATGATTCAATAGGATTTTTTTCCCTAAACGTGTCCTCTATGCACTGGCGGCAGAAACTGTGCCCACAGTCGATGCTCACGGCCTCTGTCATTAGCTGTAGGCAGATGGAGCACATGGCTTCCTCCATCATCTTCTTGGTAGTAGGGGCTGAGGCCATGGCTTTTTCTGTAAAGCTCCAATATTGTGGCCAGAGGCAGATATGAAGTAGATGGAATTTCCTACAGTGATGGAAATAAAAGAATGTGGATCTTTATGCCTCCATAGTTCTTGAAATCTTCTGTCTAGAAAGGAAATGGATTGGAGTTTGGTTGCTGTTTGTGGTCACTAAAACAGAAAATGAAATTACAATTCAGTTTCATACCCACTAGCTGTGCTTCAGTGGCTTATTACCTGCCTGTGAATGTGGCTACTTTGCACCCTAGAGATAGAAAACATCCATCTTTATAGAAGACCTTCTTGCACCTGGTGTTAAGAAGAAGAAAAGCAACACAGGCTTCTCACAGAGGTCGCAACAAGAAGTGAAGCTATCCGCAGCCTCTGCAGCATGAGTTTGATCCCCGGCTGGCCATGGAGCAATCCACGTGGTGCAACAGACCTCTCCTATCTCGCCCACTACTCTCCTCAGCAGTGTACTTCAGTCTATCTGCCTGTTCTGTTCCCTGATCTGTCTCTGGCGAATCCTCTCACCCCCCATACCTCTGACCTCTACCCCAGTTCTTGTATGCATAAATAAATCTTTAAAAACGATTTAGAAAACTCTGTGAGGGAGAGTGAAACACTTTCCCAACCAGTAAACATCAAGTATACTTAGTATCTGAATTTCTTTGTACCTGACAGTAATACTTAGGAATTGGGTGGAAATCACATTTGACACAATTTATCCCACATCCCCAGTTCTCCCAACCCTGATTCCCACCCCCAAGGAACAAAACCAGATAAACAGTGTCCATGGAGACCCTAGCAGGGTGATAGTGAAAATCAGCAACAGGGGCCTCCCTGGTGGCACAAGGTGTCAAGATGCAACCTATGAATCTGCAGCCACTGCAGCACGAGTTCAATCCCTGGCCAGGGAGCTACCCACATGACACAGCAGACCTCTCCTGTCTTGCCAGACGCTCCCCTCAGCAGTGTATTTCAGTCAATCTGCCTTTGCCATTCCCCACTCTGTTTCTGGTGAATCCTCTTGCCCGCCACACCTCTGGCCTGTACCCCAGTTCTTGTATGCATAAATAAATCTTTTTTAAAAATCAGCAACAAAACAGGAAGAAATAGGTATTCCTTCTGCCATCCTCTTTGACTTGAGGGACAGAGATTTGGAAAGAACTGGGAAGAGGAGTTGGTCCTGGAGCAGAGTCTCTGGAGACCACCCCCCCACCCCAGACCACTGTCTCTTCTCCTGGCCATGACTTGTCTCCCAGGAGATTTAGGGTGACTGGATCGAGGGATTTTTTGTAGAACCCAGGCCTTAGATCGAGGGTAAGGCCTGGCCCCCTAGGGCTGGGTGTTCACTCCCTAGCATCACAGTGAGCATCTGGCACCCAGAGACAGGAGGGGAGTGACCAGGAGCAAGAGTCAGTCCTTCCCACGAGGCTGCTTCTGGAACCAAGTCCTATTCTCCCTTTCCCATTCCTGGTGGCTGTGGCCAGAGGGGATCATTGGAAAGAACTTAAAGAACTTTCCTTTGAAGTGACAATTTTCTGAATTAAGAATTGGGATTCAACTAAAATTGATGATTCGATTATTTCTCTTCAATAATTAGGACAGGGGCCTCCCTGGTGGCACAGGTGTTAAAGAGAGCCCTATCAAGCTATCACTGGCTACTGCGGCACAAGTTCAATCCCCAGCCAGGAAGCAATCCACATGGCACAGCAGACCTCTCCTGTCTCTCCCACTGCTCCCCTCAGCAGTGTATTTCAGAAATCTGCCTGTTCAACAGTTCACCACCACCCTTTCCCGCAACTCTGGGATTACACCCCAGTACTTGTATGCATAAATAAATACATCTTTAAAAAAATAATTAGGACAGGGCCTCCCCGGTGGCGCAGCGGTTGAGCGCTGGGTTGCGAAGCTGCCCGCAGCCTCTGCAGCACCAGTTTGTTCCCCGGCCGCCAGGCGAGGGTCCCACGTGGCGCGCAGACCTCTCCTGCTGCCCGCTGCTCCCCTCAGCAGTGTACTTCAGTCCTTCTGCCTGCTCTGCTCCCCGCTCTGGCTCTGGTGAATTCTCTCACCCTCCCGAGCTTCTGACTATACCCAATGCTTGTATAAATAATAAATAAATCTTCAAAAAAAAAATAATTAGGACAAAGCTCTCCAATCACAGAGAATTAGCTGGAGACTTCTTTTCCTTCACAGCTTATTTCCCTCAAAGCATATTAGATCCATCTCTCCTAAGGGCTCCGTGATCCCTGGAAGAAAGGCCCCCACCTCCTTATACCCAGTGTGAGGGTCCTGGGCCTTCACTTACCTCTCGTGCACGATCGTCTGAGATAGGGCAAGAAGTTTGCGAATGAGAACTAGATGGGGAGAGAACTAGAGAGCTAGAGAACAAAGTCCTGACCAAAGTTCCTTCCCCACTGCCACTCCCACCCCACACACACCCAAGCACACACTGCACACACGTGCACACACTGACACTCAGTAGCACACACGCAGGCGCATCAGCTCTTCCCTGACAAACCTTGGCCTGGTGTTGTTCAACACCTATGCTACTTGGCACAGCCACACACTCAGGGTGGGGTCTTCGCCAGCTGCCACTCCGTGCAGCCACAAGGATGTGAGCTCTGATCTCAATCAGAGATGAAACTAACATGGGGGCAGACTCCTGGAGGAGGAAACTGTGACTCTGTCCACATGTCCTGAACAGGAGGGAGACACAGGAGAGGACACCCTTCATTTACAGCAACAGCAGAAGGGGTAGATGGTTGCTCAGGATGCTTCTGTCACCCCCACAGCCTCTGCAACGAGGATGTCCATTCCTAATATAGATTTATTGCCTAGTCACCGAGGCTCAGCACAGTTGAGTACAGAGAAATGGAAGTGAAGAACACATGAAATTTCTGACTTCACACGGTTTTCATTGTATTTGATCATATCATCATGTCATTATCACGGTATCATTCTCTATGATCCCAAGAAAGAGGCAATTCCTGTTTACTCATCTGGTGGAGGCAGGAATAGAGGAGAACATGGATAAACCTGGAAAAAGGGTCGGAGAGTTTCAGAGAAGGAGGCCTTCGGGAAGGTGAAGATGTGGGAGCCAGTCGGCATGTTGTAAAAGGACACAAGTCCAGCCTCACAGTCCAGGAAAACCCCCACAACCAGGGGCCGCTCACTCAGAGAAAGGGAAGTTGGGGGCGAGGTCAGGGCTGCATACTGGTTCCCTTTGCAGAGCCTGATGGCCCAGACTTCAGACTGAAACTTGAGATTCCTCGCAGATGCCCGGCACACATTTTCCAGACAAACTCCTACATCCCACTGAGTTCCTTCTCCCACATCCACCTCAAAGAAATGCCTTCCAGAGGTGAAGCCCTCACAGCCCAGGACACAGGGTAATGCACAAAATCTCCTGGAACTGCTAAGCTTCATTTGGGCATCTCCACAAGCCACTTGTCTTCCATCCTTAGACACAGTTAGGCCAACATGAGCTGTATCTGCATCCAGAGTCACGCTGACTAAAAAATAAAACAAACAAACAATCAAAACCCAAACAAGACATTTATTTTTAAATAAACCTAGGCTATGTTTGATTGCAAATTTTTTCTTACTACTAGCTGTGTGAGTCATTCTATAAATCTTGCTGAAGGTAAAGCAGAAATCATCATATTGTCACAAAGAATTGTGGGAAATATATTGGAATGAGCTAGTATAAGATTTGTGTTTGGTGAAATTCCTGGTAGAAACTAAGTGATAAATATGTGACAGTAAAAGTAAATGTTATCATTATTTTCATCATCCTCATCATCCCCATCTTAGTCACTCAGAGAAACCAAGGACCAGAACTCCCCAGGGTAGACATGGTTACAGTACTTCCCAAAGCCCTTCCTCTCCCAGGTGGGAATCATGGAGATAAGAGTAGACAAGTCCTTTCCTTTACTGATAACCACCCACCCCAAAGATCAGAAAAGAAAATGATAGTCATGTCATAGCTTGTGACTGAAGTCTCAGGATTCCCCAGGTGTCAGGACACACGCCAGCACCATGGCTTGTAAGTGAAGCTCTTCTGTCTTCCTTGAGAAAACGTTCCATAGGGATTAGTATAAGGAAATAAACTCAACCCTGATAGCACAAAAAGCATATAACTGGAATCAAGTTGAATAGAAAAATAGGTGATAAACTAAAGTTGATATTGGCCGATAGAGCATATTAAAATGAAGAGAGCCAAGGGGCTTCCCAGAGGGTGTAAGGGGTTAAGCATAGCACTATGAGGCTGTCCGCAGCCTCTACAGCACCAGTTCGATCCCTGGCCAGCCAGGAGCTACCCACATGGTGCAGCAGACCTCTCCTGACTCGCCCACTGCTCCCCACAGCAGTGTATTTCAGTCAGTCTGCCTGTTCTACTCCACACTCTGTCTCTGGTGAATCCTTTCACCCCCCCACACCTCTGGCCTGTACCCCAGTTCTTGTAAAATAAATAAATAAATCTTTAAAAGAAACAAAAATGAAAAGCGCTAAGGAGGGTCCCGCATCAGTTACCATCCGCTGTAGCTGGGTGACACACCACAGCTGGTCACAATAAGAGAAACCAAGTGTGCAAAACACTTCCTGTATCGACCGCTCTCTTCCCTCTCCTCTGTATCACTCCCAGCTTCCTCCTCTCTGCTGCCACCAGGAAAGCTGGGCCCGTGGATACACCAACCAGGCTCCCTTTGTGCTGACTTCTCTTTCCTTCAGTCAATGGGAAGCACAAGAGGAGAAGATGTGGCAAAAGAGTTTGCCTCATGGGTCAGGAGCACAGTATATAAATAGGTTAAAAATTAACAATAAAGGTTATATTTATATAACAATAAATATATACACACACACACACGTGTACAGATACCTATTATTAAATAATAGGAATAGATATTATTCCATAAATATGACTATGTGTATAATGGAGCAATAATAAAATGCTATATATGAAAAATGACATATAATGAAACTTTCCAAAACATGCATCCCTACACAGCACCTTCCACACAAGATACATCACTGTGAAAGCCATTCAAGGAAACAAGGAATTATGAACCAGAAATGTTCACAGAAGTATTTTGTGCAACAACAATTAAAAAAACAAGAAAATAACAAAAGAGAATTTAAAACTTCAATCAAAAAACATCATATTTATTACCACACTGCAGAGTGTTAAAGAGTTCTAGAGATATAGTCTGAGTTCCAAATCCTCCAGGGTGGGAACTTATAGCCCTCACTTCACCTCTTATGTCTCAGTTTCCTCATATATAAACTGAAAAAGCTTCCTACAGAGAGGATGTGGGATAAAAGAGGAGAACACAGTGAAACCCTTCTTGTCGGTCACAGAGTATGCTAAGTTAGGTGAGGGGAACCTTGCAGGTGGCAGTACCTGTTGCTCCACAGGAACAAGCTACCTGGTAACAGGCATCAAGATAACAGCTTCCAGCAACCCCAGCCTTAGGAACATGCCTGATATAAGGGATATAGGGCTGTGTGGACTAGAAAGTCACTGCAGCATCGCTGTCACCCCTCAGTGCTGGAGAGCCTGAGGCCCCATCAGCAGGGCTATGGTTACATGTAGCTGTGAAGCTCTCATGCAGAGGTAGCTTTACATGTAATTAATGAAATAGAAAAGATTGTCTATGCATTCACTGTCTGCACAGATAGAGAGAAAGTCCTAAGTATTGTCACCTGGAGAGAAGTAGGACTGGCGAGGGGTGGGAGAAACCTGGAACTTTTTCATGCCTATTGTGTTTGATTACAATTCATTTGCAATAATGAATGTAGCAAAAAAAACTTTAATAAAGAGGATTTTTAAAAGAAGGAGAATTATTTAGTGAAGATATAAGCTCATTTCAGATATGGGCTGATGTGATTAACAATAAACAATAAACATTATATAAGAAACTGTTGTAAATATTTTATATGTGTTGATGCTCTTTACTTTCATGATGAAACCAAAGAACTGAAAACTGTTAATATTCTCAGTGTTTAGGAAAAATAAGGAGAGAGCCGGGGTGACGCAGCCGTTGAATGGGAGAGGGGGAGTGTGAAGAGCCTGCACAGATCCCCAGCAGGCTGTGTCCCTGTAAGCACCGGAGCCTCCTGACACGAGGGAGGGGACAGCTCCACAAGAACTAAACAATCTCTCTGGCTGTGAGTCTCTCCAGGGGCAGGTGGTGAGCGGGGTTACCACGATGGTATCTTTCAAGTATAACATCTAAAGAGTTCTTGGCTTTCCATACCTTGGTAGCTCTTTAGCATTTTCTTCACATCCAAGTAAAGCTCAGGAACATTACACACAGTGTGAAGCTCCAGAGAGACAGCCTCTGGCACTTCCAGCTCCACAGCTGCACTCCTAGGATCAGCAGAGGACAGAGACATCTTCAGTGTGATGGATCATTCAGCCCTAAGGACCCTCACCCTGCCCTCCGGTGCTCCTACAGCACTTACCCACTCAAGGTGTCTTTCACATCCTACAGAGAAACAAGGACACAAGGGTAAGTGTGGGTACATCAGTATTTCACGGGGTGTGGCATGTGGGGCTAATCTCTACAAACATTCCTCCAAGAACAGAGTGACCCAGCTATAGACATGGCTAGAAATCAGGTAGACTGATACACTCCATGCCCTGGAATAGCAGCATGTATGTATACAGTGCATTACCCTCTGAGTCGGTAACTTCCTGTGACCTGTGCCTCTAGAATCACACCAGACTGGTGGCTACTTAGGGGAAAGGCCAGGAGCTTCCATATTCCCTTACAAGATTTGCATTAGTGACCTAAAATCCTTCAGAGGAGCTCATGTGAACATCACTCTTCACAGAGGGCCTTAGTGGTGACCACAGGCAGAGCCCCAGAGATGGGGCACGTAGGTGGCAGCAGCAGGTGTCACATAATGTTGGAGCTGCCATGCTACATCCTCACCCTCAGAGTGTGACCCCCAGTTCGACAGTGGAACACAGAATAACTAGAATAACTAGTTCCAGGCATTTATCATGGAGCTGAAAGAAGGTGCGGGAAGAGTTCTTTGGGTCACATGATATAGAAATAAATCAGGGAAAATGCTGACATTCATGTTGGCTGTCCCCCTTTACACTCACAAGTCACCTAGAGAATCGTCCAGGAAACAGACTGGCACTCAAGGTTAGTGCACAAGGAACAGACACAAACGGCAGCAAATGATACCCTACGGTTCATGGTGGACAATATGGAGCCAATTGGCCTATAAAAGCAGAAGGAGTATCTTTTTTGACTCACATGTAGTTACCGTATAGACTACTAGAGGCCACTGCTGGTGGGAGTGCAAACTGGTCCAACCACTATGGAAAGCTGTGTGGAGATTTCTGGACCTACTAAACATAGAGCTTCCATATGATCCAGCAATTCCACTCCTAGGTATTTACCCAAAGGACACAGAAACATCCATTCCAAAGAGCACCTGCACCCCTATGTTTATAGCAGCACTGTTTACAATAGCTAAGCTTTGGAAACAACCCAAATGCCCAAAAATAGATGACTGGATCAAGAAGATGTGGTACATATACACAATGGAATATTACTCAGCAATCAAAAAAGATAAACACATGCAATTTGCAAGCAACATGGATGGCGCTGGAAGGGATCATGCTCAGCGAAATAAACCAGAAAGAAAAAGAAAAATACCGGATGGTCTCACTCATAGCAGGAATCTAGAAAACTTAAATAAGGTACCAGGAAAAAGAATAACTACAAGAAAGAAAAAATCAACAAACAACTATGAACCAGAGACACTCTATGGGGGTTTGGGGGGCAGGGAAAGGAGGGCTTGGGGTCAAAATAAGGGGGTTGTAATTATATGGGGAATATAAAAAAATAAAATTTAAATTAAAAAAAAAAGAAACGCTACTTTAAATCCCCAGAGTAATTCCCCACTTCCCAGAGAAGGTGGAAGACCTTGCCATCTTCCCTGCTTCTCTCCACGGTCCCCTTAACACTCGGGCACAGACGCCTCTTCTGCATCCTCCCAGGGCACAGCCTCACCTGCAGCAAATCCTGGGCTGGGCACTGACATTTTTTCTCTAGTTCCCGGATGTGGCTTTTGAGTTCCTGGCTCTGCTTTTGCAGACTTGCCTCACTGTCCTGCAGAATATTCAGAGTCTGCTCTTTTTCTTTCTCCAGTCTCCACAGACAACACTTCTCCTCAACACGGAGGAAGGTGTGCAGATTCTCAAAGTCAGCCTGGATTTTCCTTCTCTGGAGTTCTATCTTCTCCTAGAATCAAGAAGATATGCTCAAACTTCATTTGTGGATGAAATGAGGAAAAAATGAGGTATATCCTAAAATGGGAAACTCTCATCCTTAAAATTGTATGGAGCTCTGTTACAATGTATGAGACTTGAAGATACATGGTGAAGGAAGTAAGTTAGAGCAAAGGACAACAATATAAGATTGTTTTTATAAAGGTACCTCGTTAAGTTTGAAAACAGAAAAGGAAATGTGGGTAGCAGGTGGGAGGAGGAACAATGGAGTTATTGTTCAGTGGGGATCACGTGTCATGCTGGAAAGATGATCGAGTTCTGCAACTGGAGAGTAGAGTTGGGGGCACCCCAATATGAAGATGATGCCGGCAAAGTGAACACAGAGGATGCTGAAAATGGTAAATTTCATGTTTATTTTAAAGAACACAGACACTTATAAAAAGTAAAGTGTTTGGGGATACTGTGATATTTTTTGCCATGAGTCATCTGAGGTAGAGGAACGTGCATGTTCCTGCTGCAGAGTGAGGCCCAGGGGGCAGACTCAGATGTGGGAGAGGCTGCCCCAGTTCTCTACGGTCAACTCAGTAATTTCCTTCTTCAGCAGCCAAATCACAAGATAAGGAGGCACCAGCTGCTCGATGATGACATTAGGGAAGGAGGGCCCTGGTGAAACACTAGTAAAGTAGGAATGTATATTTGGAATGTATGAAAATGTCTCTATCCTAGGGAATTTTGTGAAGCAAAAGTTTGTGATAATCATCACCAAGACAAGTCATTAACCCAAGTAGGTGAGTCCATGATTATCAACACAGGGAGGTCTGAGGCTGAATTTGATCACAGATACCAGAAATATTCATATACAAAGCTTGCGTCCACTTGAGCCTCCTTATGTATAAGACTGTCAGAAACCACATGATCTCTCTTGAGGGACTCACTTTTCTCTCTCTCTCTTTCTTTTTAAAGATATATTTATTTATTTATACAAGCACTGGGTACAGTCAGAAGCGTGCGAGGGTGAGAAGATTCACCAGAGCCAGAGCGGGGAACACAACAGGCAGAATGATGAAATACACTGCTGAGGGGAGCAGTGGGCAGGGCAGGAGAGGTCTGTGCGCCATGTGGGACCCTCCCTGGTATCCAGGGATTGAACAGGTGCTGCAGAGGCTGCGGGCAGCTTCGCAGCCCGGTGCTCAACTGCTGTGCCACCAGGGGAGGCCAGGGACTCACTTTTCATTTGGGAGACACAGAGTTGCAATTTCCACTGGGGCTTCCTTAGTTCATGGGGTGCTTCAGTGACTGTGATGTTGTGGAGAAGGGAAACAGATATGTGTAGGAGACACATACAGGACAGCTGGACACTGGCATTGACATGGTTTCTCTACATATTGGCAGCAATGGAAGTACTCACAACCTGAGATTCCAGAAAGGCAGGAAGTATGACTCTCCTTTGAGAGCTTAAATTTAACATCCACACACAAAGGAGCAGGACAATGGCTTCGAAGACACCAGAGGGAGATGTAATAACTAACCAGTCTGCAGGCTGAGTGCCCGTGAGGGATGACATCAGTATTTTTGTATGGCATAGGCCTCTGGTGCAGGAGACTGGTCAGACATGGAAAGCCTTAGCGAAACAGTGTGTGGTAAAAAAAAATTTGCTCTTACAGCAGCTCTATCCTCATTATAAGGCTCATAAAGTTGAGTAGTATAATGTCAAGTGTATACTGACTCTGTATACAGACCTAACAAAGGTTTTTGAACCTCTAAGCGTGAGTGTGGACCCTGTATTGTGGTAAATGTGTCAAAGTGATGAGGTTGAATTCTTTTCACCATGAACTTATTTAAACTATGAGGAATTTCAGGTTTCAAATTTAGTCATGATGGTTCTAGGTAAGAAATGTCTAAATTCTGCTTCTCTGGACTGAAGTATCAGGAATCCCAAGGAATTACTATAGTAAGGTTGGAAAAGAAAGGAGATAAAGTATCATAGAGTGTTTCTTCTTTGGGTGTCATTTATTTAGTCTGGTGCAGTAAGAAGGAACCAGCAGGTGCTGTGTGAAAACATCCCCTCTGCCTGGGCTCTGGGATTCACAATATTTTGAAATCAATAAACTCAAGTTCTTACCTCCCATTTCCTTATTTGTTTCTGTGTGATCAACCTCAGACTCTGACATTGGTCATCTTGTTCCCTCAGTTTTGTCACAGCTTTCTGGAGCTTTTCCTGATAATAATAGGGGGAAACAATTATAATCAATCTGACAAAACTTCTTCAAGCACTTGAGTCTAACCCTCTGGGATGGTTAGACTGACCTTAAGTGTTGTTCAATCCTTATACTTTCAGAGAAACACCCTGAGGAAGGTCTGTGCAGTAACCCCGGGAAGCTGTCAGGCCTTTTACCATAATTTCTGTGTTGTCAAAACCTAGGCTTAGGATGCAGTTAATAACATGCACCAGGGGCCATCGCTGGAGGATGGCTGAGCGGTGATTCCAAGCTCATCTGTTGACCCAAACTCAACTGACCCAAAACATCAGTTCTGCCAGAGAAATGCTGCATGTGGCACAAGATAAAATAATACACAAGACGACTTTCTCTAAGTTTCTGCATATGGTCACTTGTGTGTCCTTGCAGACTCTCTTCCCACTGGCTGGGACTCCAGTCACCACCTGAGCAAGGGCACTCCAGACACTCTTGCTTTGCTGATTTGTTTACCCTAATGACTGCAGGACCCCTAAAATGTGGTGTGTCTGTCCCTGTTTTCAGATTCTGTCACATGGCCCTGCACGTGCTTTCTCAAATGATACACACAAGTGAAGATAAAACAGGCCAGTGTGGACTGGGCACATTGTATTCTATGCAGGGGTCATCACAGCAAGAGTAAACAAGGACAAGACTTTCATCATCTGCTAAATATCAGGACAGTTAGGAATTTCTTTCTTGGGGACTCATAGTAAACCATTTGTCAGAAAAATGACATGATGAAAGTCATATTTGAAGATCATAATCTCTGGTTTCATGCTAAAAAATTTCAGGTCAGAGAGTTCAACATGAGAGCAGGTACTTGCTCAAGCCCTCAGTCCACCCACTCACCTTGTAGCCTGGACATACATCCTCAACAAGAGCTGTGATATGTCCTCTGTGCTGGGGGGAGCGCTCACAGCGCCAGCAGATGAGCTGCCCGTCATCCTCACAGAACAGGTGGAGCCGCTCTCCATGTTCCTCACACAGCCTCTCACTGTCTATCTCCTTGACAGTCTGAATGAGGTTTTCCAGTTGCTTGTTGGATCGGAGACTGTCCCTTTGAAATGGTGCCCGGCACAGGGGACATTGGGACTCCCTCAGGGATGAAGTCCCTTGTGGGTTCTCAAGGGTGCCCTCTATGCACTGGCGGCAGAAGCTGTGCCCACAGTTGATGCTCATGGGCCCTGTCATCAGCTCCAAGCAGATGGAGCACGTGGCTTCCTCCCTCATCTTCTTGGTAGCTGTGGCTGAGGCCATGGCCCTTCCTGAAAAGCTCCAATGTCAGATTAGAGGCAGAGATGAAGTAGGTAGAATTTTCCGCAGTGAAGGACACAGAAGTAAGCTGGGCTTCTGTCCCTCCACAGGTCTGGAAATCTACTGTCTAGAAAAGCAATGGATTGGCATTTGGAACATGATACCATGTCACTGGGATAACTATCACATATGGCCACCAAATTTTAAATTAATGATAATTAAAAATACTGAGTTTCTCAGTCCCACTACCTGTGCCAGTTGCTTAATATCTATATATGCCTGTGGCTACCTGGTGCCCCCAGTATAGAATATTCCAGCACTGAAAGTCCTCTTGAAACAAGTATTAAGAGAGAGAGAAGCAAGACAGGTTTAACTCACAAAAGTTGCAGCAAGACAGAGAAAACTCAATGAGGGAAAGCAAAATTCTTTCCATGCCTAATGAGGATCAAGAATAATCAGTGCTGTGCCTCCCCGGTGGCACAGAGGATTGAGCACAGCACTGTGGAGCTGTCCACAGCCTCTGCAGCACAGGTTCGATTCCCTGGCCAGCCATGGAGCAACCCACATGCTCAGCAGACCTCTTCTGTCTTGTCTGCTGCTCCCCTCAACAGTGTTTTTGGTCCATCTGCCTTTTCTGCTCCCCGCTCTGTCTCTGGTAAATCCTCTCATCCTTTCGCACCTCTGGCCTGTACCCCAGTTCTTGTAGAAATAAATATGTCATAAAAAATAAGAATAATCAGTGCCCATGTTACTCTTTGTCAGTGGTAGTAACACTGCGGAATTGGCGGATCCTTGAAGGATTCTACTGAGACAATCACATCTGACTCTATTCACCCCCACACCCCACACTTTCTCTATACCCATTCCCACACTCAAAGAACAAAATACACCAGCTAATAAAATCTCATGGCGGTTCTACCAGGATGATAACAGAAATCCACCAGGCAACAGGAAGAATCAGTGTGTGCTGTCAGGCTCTCTGTGCTGAGGTGAAGATTTGGAAAGAACTTGGGGAAAAGGGGGTTGGCCTGGAAGCAGACCCCCTAGAGATCCACCAAGGCCACTGTCTCTTCTTCAGGCCAGGACTTGTCTCCCGGGAGGCTAGTGTGGATCTGGCAGGCAGAGAGGGAGGGGAAGAGACCAGAAGCAAAGATCCCGCCTTCTGGCCATGCTGCAGCCGCTTCTGCAAACTAGCCCTGACCCCACCCCTCTCACTGCTGGTCTGTGTAGCCAGAGCCTGCAGTCCGAAGAAACTCCAGTGACCTGTCCTTTGCAGTGATAGTGCTCTGAATTAAGACCAGGGATTTAACTAAAGTTACTGGTTAGGCTGTTTCCCTCCAGTAATGAGAACAACTTTCTCCAGCCATAGAGAATTACTTCTGGAGACTGTATTCCAAGAGAGGTAATTTCTCCCAAAGGATAAGGCTCCTCTCTCCCAGGTGTTCTGTGCTCTCGAAGAGAAGGGCCTCCCACCTCTGGCACCCAGGGCACAGGACCTTCACTCACCTCATAACCTGGACCTTTTGAGATGTGGCATGGAGTCTGTGAAAGAGAAAGCACCCAGGGCGAGAGAGCTAGAAAGCAAAATCCTGACTTTTGCCAGAGTTTCAGGGGCTCACCCACTGCCACCCCATCACACACACACACACACAGGCAAAGGGTGGCCTGGCTTCATTCACCACATCCCCCCCTCAGCACAGTCTCATACTCAGTGTCGGTGCCTCTGAACTTGCCTCTTCCTGCAGCCACAACCAGGAAGTGAACTCTGCTAAATTCAAAAATGAAACTAACACAGGGTAGATTCTTGGACACAGGAAGGAGACTCATGACGTGGCCCATGTTTCCGCTCAGCTTGTCGGAGAAGGAAGGGGGACAGTAGGAATAATGCCCTTGATTTAAGGCAGTAGAAAGAAGGGAGAGAGTGATAGCCTGAGACTCTGTCTTGGAAAGAACAGAAAGAATGAATGAAGAGAAACAAAGCTTCAGAGACACGTGGGGCACCATCACATATACACGTTATGTATAATGGGACTCTCAGAAGACAAGACGAAAGTGCAACTTAAACAGCATACTCCTAAATAATCAATAGATTGTATCAGAAATTAGAAAACAGTTTGAGATGAATGAAAATGAAAGCCAACCCACCAAAATTTATCTGATGCAACAGCAGTGCTTAGGAGACTGATAGATGTAAATGTTACATTAATAATGTAAAAAGATCCCAATTTAGTAACTTAACCTTCTTTTTTTTTAGATTTATTTTATTTTTTTTTTAAAGATTTATTTTATTTATTTATACAAGCACTGGGTACAGTCAGAAGCACGGGAGGGTGAGAGAATTCACCAAAGCCAGAGCGGGGAACAGAACAGGCAGACCGACGAAGTACACTGCTGAGGGGAGCAGCATGTGGTAGGAGAGGTCTGTTGCGCCATGTGGGACCCTCGCCCGTGGCCGGGGATCAAACCGGCACTGCAGAGGCTGCAGGCAGCTTCGCAGCCCAGTGCTCAAACGCTGCGCCACCAGGAGAGGCCCTATTTTATTTATTTATGCATGTAAGAATGGGGGTCTAGGCCAGTGGTGCAGGCAGTGAAAGCATTCACCAGAGACAGAGTGGGGAGCAGAACAGGCAAATCTACTGAAATTGACTGCTGAGGGGAGCAGTGGGAGCAACAGGAGAGGTCTGCTGTGCCATGTGGGTCAGCCCCTGGCTTGAGATCAAACTCTAGCTGCAGTGGCTGGAGACAGCTTCATAGTGCTGAGACTTTAACCCCTGTGCCACCAGGGAGCCCTTAAGCTTCTATCTTATGAAACTAGGAAAAGAGCTAATTAAAACCAAAGTAAGTAGAAGGAAGTAACGTTATTAACAAAATAAAGAAGATAAAATCTTGTTCATTGACTAGACAAACCAAAATGAAAAAACTTTCAGCTACACTAACCAAGCAAATAAGAGAAGACACAAATACTCAAATAAGGAATGAGAGTGGAGACAAATCTACCAAACTTAAGAAATAAAAGGAAAACAAAGGAGTATTATGAGTAATTGTATGCTAGCAAATTAGATAACCCAGATGAAACAGATAATCTAAATGACACCAACTACCAATATTTTCTAAGAAGAAATAGAAAATATGTCAAACTATGACAACTAAAAAGCATGAATTAGCAGTCTAATCCTTTCCACAAAGAAACTCCTCAGGGACAGAGGTTTTCACTGGTGAATTCTATCAAATGTTTATATTTTTTATTTTATATATTTTTACATCATTTTTCATTTTTGCACAATGTATGTATTTTCATCTTGGTTATAGTCTCCATAAAATTCCCACCACCCTTGTTTAGATCTTACTCCCTTCCCCACCCCACCCACCAGTGTATCTCTGGTTTGTAGTTGCCTGTTGATTTTGTCTATCAAATGTTCAAAAGAGAATTAACACTACTCTTTCACAAGCTTTTTGTAGAGTAGAAGAGGGATTACTTTCCAACTCATTCTACAAAGTCAGTATTACTCTGATAATTAAATACATCACAGAAAACTAGACAGCAATATCCTTGTTTAATACTGGCACAAAAATACCCAACAGAATATTAAAACTGAATGCATCAACACTATAAAATGGCTTCTAGACCATGAACAAGTGGAATTTATCTCAGGAATGCAAGAGAGACTCAATATATGTAAATTCATCAATGAAATAAACTGTGTCAATAAAACCAAAACCAAATGATCATCGCAAGAAACAAAGAAAAAGCATTTCTCAAACCCAACATCTTTTCATCAGAAGACACAGGCAAAGTAGGAATATAAGGTCACTTTCTTCCACCTGATAAGAACATATACGAAAAGCTCATAAGTAACTTCAAACTTTATAGTAAAAGATTAGTCAACACTATATTGAAGAGTCTATATTCAGGGAGATTAAGGAAGTTTGGAAAAGGAAATGAAAGACTTAGTAGAAAGAAATAGTAAAAACTGGTTTACAGATAACACAATTTTGCATATGAATCTTTTTATAAAAATTTTAAAATTTGATCCCAAAAAACTGATCTCAACATAGAGAAAAATTCTGTTTTTTCATAAGTGTAATAGATCTTTGTGTATATTCTGGACCTGAGATGCTTATAATAATCGAATCTGTGTACTTTGGAACATAAAATGCATTCCTGATATTCAGGGTGATTATCTAGAGCAGAAAAGGAAAATAATAGGATTTTCTTTCTGTATTTAGCAGGAGTTCATGAAACCATCATCTCTCAGCAAATCAAAGTCTCATATACCGCTTACTTTAAATATTAAGTTTGCAAAACTCATTTGTTACCATTAAGAATCAATTTGATTTAATTTTTTCTTACTTTGAAGTCTTAAATATGATAACTAATGGAGAGAAAGCATCCATGCCAAACTGTTAATTACTCTGCATTGTTTTTATTGTAACAACAACTATAAATATGCACAGCTAGCTTTAAAACTAATAGCTAAAGCATTTCATTTAAAATGTTTTAGTGTGGGGCCTCCCTGGTGGCGCAGCCGTTGAGCGTTAGGTTGCGAAGGTGCCCGCAGCCTCTGCAGCGCAGGATCGATCCCTGATCCCCAGTAGCCAGGCAAGGGTCCCACATGGCGCGCAGACCTCTCCTGCTGCCCACTGCTCCCCTCAGCAGTGTACCTAGGTCGTTCTGCTCTGGGCTCGGGCTCCAGCTCTGGTGAATTCTCTCACCCTCCCGCGCTTCTGACTGTATCCAGTGCTTGTATAAATAAATAAATAAATCTTTTTTTTTTTTTAATTAAAAATAATAAAATGTTTTAGTGTAAAAAATTAATGTTTTAGTGCAGAAACAGCAATAAAAAAGAGAAAATCAAATTATTCAAGGTAAAGGTAATTCAAAACATTTTTCTTTAATTTAGACATACTTCACTGAAATACTGACAGTTCTAGAGGTTGTTTTTAATGGGAATACTATCAAATAAAGAAAAGACAACTTAATTTTTACCTGAACTTAGCAACATACACATTTTGTGTTTGGTAGTGTTAATAGGACAATAATATAGTCAGTGAAATACTCAATGGAAATGACAGCCTTTGTATATGGGTACAAATGATCAGCCATAATTGTTATATTGCACAAAGGAAAAGTGGACACCAGGGCTAACAAGAAGCAGGTTTAATGCACTGGTGCTGACTCAGCGGATTCCTATCCCAAGGCTGAGACTCCTTTGTAGGAAGTTAGGGGCTTATATACACTTTAGTTTCTACAAGGTTCGGGGAGGTTTGCATTGGCAGCTGTACATGTTCAGATAGAACGTGGCTACATATCGAGAGGTGAGTTGTATAGTTGCATACCAAGGGGCGGTAAAGGGTCAGTAGCCATGGGACCCCTCAAGTCCTTTCTGGCTCATGGTGGTATATGGTCTAAGATGAAGCAAGATTCATATCAGGAACTAAGCTGCACACCAGGAACTGAGGGAAAGGTTGTTACTGAGGACCCCAGGCTGCTTATCTCAGTTCACCATGCTTCATGATCAATGGCCCCTCACTTCCATATCTTTACTCAATATTGCTGTAGTTTTCATATATTGGAAATCTTCAGAAATCCACATACCAAAAAACCTTAGCACTACTAAAGGAGTTCAACATGATTGCAGATTAGGCCAATAAGCAAAATTCAATGAACACTGAGTAAAATTCACTGAACGAGCTGAAAATAAAAAGAAGGAAATTATCATTTATAATAGCCTCAAAAATAATAAAAACTAAAGAATTAAACTAACGAAAGTAGTATTAGACTTGTATGTTGATCACTTACAATCAGGGAAGTGCAAATCAAAACTACAATGAGATACCATCTCACACCAGTAAGAATGGCACATATTAAAAAAACTAGCAACAACAAATGTTGTCAAGGACGTGAAGAAAAAGGAACAAAAAGGAACACTCCTGCACTGTTGGTGGGAGTGCAAACTGGTCCAACCACTATGGAAAGCTGTGTGGAGATTCCTCAACCTACTAAAGATAGAGCTTCCATATGATCCACTTTTCCTTTGTGCAATATAACAATTCCACGCCTATGTGTTTACCCAAAGGACACAGAAACATTAATTCCAAAGAGCACCTGCACCCCTATGTTTATAGCAGCACTGTTTACAATAGCTAAGCTTTGGAAATAACCCAATTGCCCAAAAATAGATGACTGGATCAAGAAGATGTAGTACATATATACAATGGAATATTACTCAGCATTCAAAAAAGATAAACACATGCAATTTGCAGCAACATGGATGGAGCTGGAAGGGATCATGCTCAGAGAAATAAGTCAGAAAGAAAAAGAAAAATACCAGATGGTCTCACTCATGGCAGGAATCTAGAAAACCTAAATAAGGGACCAGGAAAAAGAATAATTATAAGAAAGAAAAAATCAAAATCAACAAACAACTATGAACCAGAGACACACTATGGGAGGGGGGCGGGGGGTTGCAATTGTATGGGGAATATAAAAATAAAATTTAAAAAAGAAAGACTTGTATGTTGAAATCTGCAGAACATCTCTGAAATAAATTAAGTTCATTTAAATATATGGAAAAGACATTCTATGTTCATATACTGTTAGATTTAATTTGCTAGCTGGCAATATTTCCCAAATTGTACAAATTCATCTGTTTTTGTTTTTGGTGTTTTCTTTTTCAAACATTGGTAACTCTATCCTAAAATTCATCTGGAAATATAAGAGCTTGAGGGAAATGCAAGGGATCCACAATACCCAAAAACATCTT